TTTTTTTGTTTTGCGCACTTGTGTTGATCGGTTGTTACAACCAGTTACAATGCAATCTGGCATTTTTTTTATAAAAAAGATCACTTGAATAAAACTACGTGATATCACAAGCCACGAGGTTATTGCCGTGATAATGACAACTGGCTAATATCCCGTATACTTGCAGCCATATTGATGTCCGCAAAAGTGACAATAGCCTTCTTACCTCCTGCCTCTTAGCTTACACCCCCCTTTCCCAAAACTGTACTTCACGCGCCGTCCATTAGGTCCATGTTTTAATCAGAGTCCCGCAATCGTAGGTTTGTTCGCGTCGCATGTCCCAACGTGCTCCTACTCGCCCCAACGCGCCATAACAGCAAATTCGATAGCCTGCACTAGTGCGCACTGAGTGTGACTTTTTTTTATTGAAAAAGTTTATTAAAAAGAAGTTTTGAAATTTTATTAAAGTTTCATAGAAAATAAGCGCGTTGGAGCAAATAAGAGCATGTTGGAGCACATGCGACGCGAACAAACACCTCATATCTCTTCGTGATTGGTGCCGCCATTTTGAGGCAAACTGGATGAGTTCAGACAGAAACTACAAAGCCATGTCTACCAACTTTTTTCTAGTATCTTTTGATTTATTCAAGAACTTTACGGGAAACACTTCCGTCCTATGGAACACGCGTTGCTCGAGAAACGTCACGAACAGCTGATTGCACAAATCACGTGTACCGTGCACACGTGCGAACGCAAAACAAGCGTTGTTTGTGTAAGAAAACAAGAAAAAAAATCTGAACAATGGTAAGACACAAGATACCAGCGAAGAAGCACCGGGGTGTGAAGGATCCTGGAAAACAGCGCGCTAAGCGTCTGGCAGAGTGAGTTGTTTGTAATAAAATGACGTTGGTGAGACGTTGGCGATTCTAACGTTGGCTTTTAGGTTAGCAACGTGCACGAATACCGCGCCGAAGGACATAAACGAGCAGGAAATCCCGAAGAGTTTGGAACGTGTGATTAAGTTGAAGGAAATAGCAAAGAACAGTAGCATTCTGAAGAAAAAGCGAAAGAAGAAAAAGAATGCGCTTATATGTGTGGGTCAGCAACAACCTAAAGCGATGCATCCGAAGGCGAAGCCGGAAAAAGTCGTGCCGGTGTTTCAGCAGCTACCGGGCGAATCGGGTCAAAAATTCATGCACCGAGTGTGTAAAGATACGCACTCCTTTCTCAAAGAGACCCAATTTGAGAGGAAATATAACGTTCAAATCGAGCGTGATCCCGAAAGCGGTGAAATACAAGGCTTAAAAAAATGCAAACGTGAAGACATTGATATTGAAATGTTGCAGGCTAAGCACAAGAATATCAAAAAGAAGAAAAAGACAATCGAAGGACCCAAACCTCTGACAAAGAAGGAAAAGCAGAGACTAAAACTGAATATGAAGAAACAAAAACAATTGGAAGATGATGAGTTTAAAATGATAGAGGACAAAGTTGCCTTCGGCGAAGTAGCACATGAGCCGCCTAAGTTAAAAATCAAGTCGAAAGACATCAATGAAGGCAGAAAGCCCAAAGGATTGCTCTTGCATTCTCTGTTAGAAGATGCAAAAACTGTTTCTTCCAATTCCAGAGTGATCGATAGATCTGGAAAGAGAAAGAATTTACCTGTTGCAGAAAGGAGAAAGTTAGAGAAACAACAAAGCGAAGCTATTGCTTCTTACAGAAAATTGAGATCTCAACAATCAGTTAACAAAAGCTGATATCTGAAATAAAAAAAGAAACGCAATAAATTATTTTGATATTGTATATTTGTTTCTTTCTTAAACTTAATGTTTTATTTGTCTTCTTTGTATGTAAGGATTGAGTGTGTTAAAATTCTCTATACAGTGAAGCTTTTTACAAGTGTATTGAAATTCTTAATATAGACAATCTATTTTTTTCTTATAGTCACAACTTTGTGAAACAATGTAATTACAGAATATAGGTTTCCTTGCTAAAACAATGAATAAAGGTAACAATCATCAGGTGCGGTATTCTATACTCGACTTCGGTTCAACCTGTGGTCCAGACAAAGGGCTCGAGTCTCTCTTCCACCGGCAATAGATTGTTGAGCGTTTCGAGGCTTTCAAGAGTTTGATTGAGCAACGAGTGGCACCGAGTGAGCTGGCGGCTGAGCTCGTGCACCTTGTTTAACTGATCGGCGAATCTGGCAAACCTCTTCTGCCGATCTACGGCGAGGTTCAACATTTTATTCAGCTCAGATTCCATGTTGATACACAGAGCAGCTTGTTCTGTAGCTATCATTTGTGCATTTGTGTTCAAATGATGCTGATAACGCGCACACAAGTTGAACAAGCCAACTGGATCGAGTCTCTCTAAAACTTCAGGATCTCGTACACCTGGTGGTAGGTTCAGCGTGCCACGCATAATCGGTAAGAACATTGGAATACTCTGTAGCTTCACCAAATCTGGATCTTTGTCCGCGGTAGGGTCTGCTTGAGCAGGTTTCACCACCACAATATTGTGTACTTTGCTGTCTGTGTTGGTCTTTTTATGGCTAACAAAAAAGTAGGAAAAAGTTAAGTTAAAACTTTGTACAGTAATGATTTCTCTAACATTTAATAATGAACTTTGATATGTACCTGTGAGTTGCAGCGCTCAAACTATTTTTCCGTCTTGATATCTCACCAGCTCCGATAGTCTTTCCTCTATATAGTTGTGATTGTTTGTTTGTCATCTTTGGTGAATCTCCAATAGGTCTATTCACAGTATAAGAAATGTACGGAAGGTCAGAATCAGAACAAATACTAGCACCAGGACTGATACATCTTGGTGGTGTATCTTCCGGTACTTTCTCACGATTCGGAACACTTTTGCCACGCCTGAGTTGACCAGTTCTTGCTCTACCACCACTAGTACCTTGACCACCACTTTGAGAACTCTGCTCAGATCCCATTTCTGAGACTTTTCAAGTTTTAATTTCAAGAGAAGATTAAAATTGTATAAAACTATGTCTTTCAATAAAGTTGCAGAATGTATTTAAATTTTTTGTTTTTTTAAAGTATATAATATTCTCTTGATTTATTTTCGCTGATATTATGTTGATGACACTTGCTGTTTGTGTTTGTCTGTAAAATATCAAAATATGAGCTTAACAATGACTAGTTGATGTCACAAGTTATATAAATACATACCGCACAACATGCATACATAGAGCTGTTCCATTTTACTTTACATACATTTTTCAACATTAATATTTTTATTGATAGTTTGCTATTAGTCGATCCTAAATTTGTAATAAGTCACCTAGATTTTGTGATAAATTTGTGCTCAATCAATTTATTTTAGTTTGAAACAAAAAAATCTGGCCGAGAAAGAAAGCGTTCACTCGGCCCTACAAAGCGAACAATTAAACATTAACATTGAAAGAGTTTTATGCCATATTTATTATGTCTTCAGCCCTAGAAGGCTTTCTGACACACTTAATCTCTCAGTATAACCCTATTCTTCCACGCTACAGTAAATGTAATACAAAAGCGGTAAAATTGGTGACGTTTGAGGTTAGAAAATCTGTCATATTACCAGAAAGTAGCAACACAAGCATGCTCGGTGTTTGACCAATCAGAGAGTTGCCTCAAGTATTGAGACGACAGAAGGGATGTGGGCGAACATCTTTTAATTCTGAGCGAAATGGTTTCTTTCGCTAAACTTTTAGAAACATTTGCATTTTTATTACTTTTGGAATTTTGTTATTCTAATTTTACAGTAAAAGCTCTAAGATCTTTGTATGCAAAATTTCATTCATTTTCTATGATTAATGTGAGAGATACAAGCATTTTTCGCTGAAGTTTAAGCGAGAAAGTCGGCCGCTACGGCCGGGATAAATTTCAAATGTGTTATTAGGATTACAGGAAGCGACAAGAGCTCTCTTACCAAGAAAGTAGAGAGAAGAGATGAACTGGCGCTGTCGATAACGTCGTCGTATTAGGAAAACATAAATTGAAGAAAGTGGCACTAATATATCTGTCTCTGTATCGGTAAATTCTAGCGAAAAAATACAAGTACAAACTTTCGTACCAGGATCACAGAAAGTAACAAGAGCTCTGTTATCAGAAGAGAGGTAAACTGACTCAGTCGATAACTTTGCCAAATTAGAAAAGTATAGTTGAAGAAGTGGCGTTATTAGATAAGAAAACGGAACGACGCAATGATACACTTTGTCTTTTTACATTATGAGCGCGTCGTGTAATAGAGATTAACAACATCTCTGTTGTCTAAGTGGCGGAAAGGTGAAACATAAAAGTGATTGAGTTGAATGAACACAAATTTCATCAAAATCTAGGTGGGTTGACTAACAAACTTTTATCAAAGTCACTTTGTATGTGTATGTGAAATGAGTTAAGCGAAATGGCCTGCCACATTAAAGGAATAGCACATATACCGGACATAGATAAAGTAAAGAAATTGCTTTATGGCGATGCTATTAGCAAATGTGAGTTTGATATGAGATATGTAGATTTGATGTAAGTGCACTTACGTATTTTATTATAATTTCGTGTATTTATATATTTTAGTTGAATATGTACCTAGCAATGAGCTGCCTCTCCAAGATTGTCATGTATCACTGTCATCTGTTGGAGATGTACTTGCAATGGCTTGGAATACAAAAATGATCATATTTGGTTGTAAGTTTACTTATTTGAACTATAGCTTTTTTTCATAAATTTGTATCTGTAGTTTTTATTTTTAATAACACATTATTAATAGCAAAATGGGATTCTCAAGAGTTAAATGAAGTAAAAACAAAGTTCCATGTAACATGGCATGGGGAAATAACACAGCAGCAAAAGTAAGCTTAAGAAATTTTTATATCTCAAAATATATATGTATTATATATGATAATGTTATTATTATTACACATAAAAGTTATATTTTTCAGTGAATGGATAACTTCGGTGATTTGTTTACCTTTAATATCTTTAGGAAAGGCTAGTGGTCCAGATTGGACATGCATAATTGTTGGATTTAATACTGGTTTTATTCGATTTTATACAGAAGTAAGTATAAATGGTTACTTGCTGTTTCACATAGTGAAGTTTATCTCTTATTAATTTATTCATTTTTTTAGACAGGTGCATTACTCTTAGGAGAACAGATCCATAATGAATCAGTTTTAGGAATAAAATGTCAATCATTTTGTCCACCAAGACACTCTGGAGAGACTGGATTCAATGAGGAAATTTACATTTCCTATAACAGTGGTGTCTGTATATTGCAAGGATTTCCATTATTTTCAACTTTGCGTGCCTGTAGAAATCATTTAGCTAGAGGTAGGTATGTTATTGCTCATTACATATTGTTTTACTTATAATAATTATAATTTTATTTTTACAGTACAAGCTAATTGCAATGATTTGCCGCCAATTACAAATTTGTCATACAAAAAATGGGCATTTAAAAATCAAGACATTGCAAATGATTCAGAAGTAATCGGTACAACATCGATAAATAGTTTTGATCATTTGATGACTGCCTCGATTTGTGGCGGTTATAACGCGACATACAGATCTAGTGCACCGCAACACAACTTAGTTCTTGCGACAGGAAAAAGACCATTTGTAGGATTCCACTATGCACTGGAAGGTGGGAATGCACCTGTCTTATCCGATGTTGCTATCGCTATGGCCAGCAAATTGGCCAGTGCTATTGGTACTGCTGTTCCGTAAGTGCTCTCTTTTGTATATACAACATTTATAAGAATATAAAACCATTTGCAGAAAATATTTTTGATTTGTTTTAATGTAATAGATAATAGATTCTTTCTTATGTGAAAATATAGGTGGTTCCGCAGTGGTTCCAAGAGCTCAACATCTGAAACGTCAAAAGGTAACATTCAGGAATCTGTGGAAACAATGACTTGTCGATTTGGTTTAAGCGATATTATGAGAGAGGGTGATTGCATCGTCTGTAGTCCAAATAAAATGTTATCGGTAATCTCTGACGCCATGGGCAGAGTAATACTTATAAATAATAAAAGAGGCGTGGCTTTAAGAATGTGGAAGGGATATCGCGATGCTCAATGTGGTTGGATTGTAGTTGACGAGGAAAAAGAACGTGGAATCCACAAAAACATCAATAAGTCCGGACGAAAAACTTTATTGCGCACCGCCATGTTTCTAGTTATCTACGCGCCGAAGAAAGGCGTGATAGAAATTTGGAATATTCAGCAGGGTCCAAAAATTACAACTTTTACTGCTAGTAAAAATGGACGGTTAGTTATATACATATATATATATTTGTTATATCTTTATCTAAATGTCAATTATTGTCGCTCTCGTTTAGTAAAAAGGTACTTACTTAAGATGTTGTTGTAGTTTATTGTATATTAATTATGGCTGTTTGGGAGCAAATAATAGTGGAACTCTGTCCAAGAATAAGCCACAGTATTCATGTGTGTTTATGGATCCATTCGGGGGATTAAAGGAGATTTGTGTTCCATTTCATTTTGCTCTTAGCAGCAAAAATGGAAGACGAGCACGTGACATACATCTGCTCAGAAAATTGAGAGCGTTCCTAAGAGAAGAAGATTTTAATGAAGAAAAATTGGTTGCTGAAGTTACTAACACTTGTCGCGAATTAAAAACAAACGAAATTAAAATACAAACGACAGAAGTTTTAATGAACAGCAAACATATTTTGCCAAACGCTTTGCTCGCCGCAACAAACTGTTTTGCAATGAAGTCTGGAGAAGAAGAATTAGAGCCTACTGCTAAAACACTTTGTCAGTTGACAACGCAGTTACAGCACATAATTACATTTTATAAATATGTTAAATCTCAACTTGACATTCCACCTGAATATAATATTGTGGCAGCTGATAATGTACCAAGTGCTAAAAGTTTATCTTTGATATTATTAACTTCAGAACGAGAAGTACATCATATCATTAAATTATCCAAAATATTAAACAGCTTTAAGAATACTGACATTTCAGTAGAACCTAAAGTTAAATTCAAAGAAGACGAAAGAGTATTTTTCGAATTTTTGTCATGCTTCGAATTTGGTGTATCGAAATTTGTTGGTCTACGAAAAGAATTAAAAGAGGAAAAAATATGCGAAATATGTGAGTTTGTTTTGACTTTTTTACGTTGTGTAGAAAATAACATTATGTATTAAACATATACAATGTTATTTGTAGCACGATTGATCTATCAAGGATGGATGTACTCCAATGATGTAAAAGAAAAATGGCAGCAAGCTGCGAAAGACAGCAATATTCGACCATCCACTTTGATGCGATTGGCATTAATATATTGGATGCACAAGCAAGAAGCTGCATCTTTGGAAATAGAGCTAAAACGCTTTACACAGCTTCTACATGTTATTTGTTTATTAGTTGGTAAGATTTATATATATATACAATTTTGTAAAGTGCGTTACACATAACGGGCACACACAATGAATTTAATTTTTACAGATGTGGAAGAAATATGTGCCGAATACAATGAGGTTTCTTCGTGGTGGAGAAATGTACGCACGATTCTAACGGAGTCTATAAAACCTTTTTCTGCGCTTACTGCCGCATTAGCTTGCAGAGCAATCTGTATGATTCTAGAGAAACATAAAGAAAAATTACAAAATCAAAAACTATTAGAGACTAACGGAAACGAAGGAGAAGATATTAAAAATGGAAATGACGTGGCCAAAGTAAATGACACTAATGAAGATAAACCAAATGATAGCACACCGGATGATGAAACATACAGTTCAATTAGTGAATGGGAAAATGTTAGTAAGGATACTTGTCAATTCACAGTGTTAATTGGAAATCTTGAAGATATTGCCATTTTAAAGGCTGTAGTTAGGTGCGTATCTCATTATCATTGACATACACATTTAACTTTATACTAATAAAATTTTTTAATTTTAGTCATCAAATTATACCAGATGAAACAACACAATTCTTTTCTTTGCCATTTACAAAATATGACATTTCTTTATCATCGATTTTTTCCAAGGGAAAAGGTTTGTTTAAATTTTATTACTCATTGTTTACTGATTGATTAGTCAGTGATATTGAACATGTATATAATTCTATACTTGTTATTTTTGTATTTGTGATTTAGGTTCAGTGTCTGAACTGGTTGCAAAATGGCTCAGCACAACGGGTATCGATCCAGCGCGATTAATCGACACAACTGATGTGGAATTCGATCAGCTACAATTATCAGTGGATCCTTTACAATTGACTGATTCGCTGGATGAAGCAACTGCAATTGACGTACCTCAACAGGAACAAACGAAACTTCTTTCATTGTCGGTGGAAATTGGAGACGAAGCAAAAGCCAACGCAACTATGGAAGCATGCATTTTAGGTAAGAACCAGAAAGTATATTATATAGAAACTTGGAAATATATGTACATATATATTTTACTCTCTTTTTTTTTGTTTTTATGTATCTTTTATATCTTTCGAATGTCTTTCTTTCAGATAAAATTAATTTGCTTAAACGCCATTTCCCGTATAGTTTAACGAGTAGTGTTTTGTTGGCTAATTTATGTTGGGAGTTTGCAATGTCATGGAATAAAGACGTTACTCAGCTAGAATCACTTGCAGCTGCCTTGGCTGTTTTACGACAAATACCTATGAAAAATATGCGACACGGTAAGCAGCGATTCCTGTTTTTTCTTTCAACAATATTAGTTTTTTCAACACAGATGTTTAAACTTACATGTTTATATTTGTTTATATTTAATAGGCGTTTGTTGCTTATTATGGACGCTTCATATAAAAAAAAGAATGGAAACAGCGGCGAAACTAATGAACAAACTCGGAAAATTGCCGAAAGAAAGATTATGTATGCAAGACATTGGCTTATCTGACATTCAATTGACATCGTTCTTGCAACACTGCGTTACTTTCTTAGATATATTTATCGATGTTAGTGTATATAGAATTCATAGCAAAGTTGTATGTAAATTATTGTATGTGTGAGAAAAGTACAATACATATTTCTTCTTAGATTTATTATATATATATACTTTCTATATAAACATATATAAACTCATTTTCTGTTATTTATGCTATTCAGGCTGAGATACTCGAGCGAGGAGATAGTACAACGATAAAATCGGAAGAATTATGGGATGGACATCCCAATGGACCGCAACCGTTTGCTGCTCTAGCTATTTCTCAATCACCAGCTTGGTATGACTTGGTCTTGTTACACATACAAGTGGCTAATGTTCTGTACATGATAGCATGTCTTAATTTAAAGATACTGAAACCATTAAATAATTTGTTCGAATCTGTGGTAAGTAAGAAATGAGCTAATATACGCCTACGTTATTTCATACATATATATATGATATGTGTGTTCATATATATTTGTTTATTATTTGCGTAGGTACAACCCTATTTCTTTCAAGACATAACGGATAAAGCAATGCTCACATGGTATCGGGACGATAAAAGAGATAACACACGTACGGAATTTTTATGTAAAGTAATCACAGCATCGATGGAACTCATTCACCGGGAAACTACGGATGGTGTAACAGTCAGTTCGACACAAGCCGTTTTATGGATGAGCAAATGTCAGACATTGGCATCTATTTGGAAGATTAATAATGATGAGTTAAGGATACATCAAGCCTGTCAACTGTATATAAACGGTTTTGATCGTTTAGCAGAAGAAGTGAGTATTTTATTGACCAATATACAAAATCGGAAATTTGTTTATTATATATATGTTATTACACAGTTGCTTACAACTACGTGTTTATACGCAATATTTATGTCTATGCTCACAATATATTAGGTAACTATAGCGGTAACTGACATCGAACGCTTAGCTGCAAATTTATTACCTATAGCCGGAAGAAGAATGATGGCGTATCTCTCGAAAACGCCTAATCTTCTGGAAGAAATGTCACGAATGAATCCGTCACTTACAAGATACTTAGAAACCTTGGTAAGTTTCGCGTAAATCTCGTGTTGCACACATACACACACATACATACATACATTTGCTGAATACTTTAAATCTCTTTCTAACTTACAATTTTTTCAGAACGTGTTCGAGATAGTTTGTACAAATTGTTCGAACGCCGATAATGTTGAATTAATTCGACGAATATCTATGCATTTACCTACAACTCATTGTGACTATCACATTGCACAATTGATGTTAGATGCAACATTTATTTATGAAGGTAACAATTAATTTTCTCTACTTTGCAAACTTCGAATGTTCTTTGAGATATCGTAAAATATGAAGTTGCCATGCTACAAAAAAATTTATTAAGTCATTTAATTTGTACATACATGTATTAATACAACGAAATGAAAATGATCCTCCGAAAAATGAAGAAAAAAACATGTCATTATCACGCAGAGTAATAAGTATCTGCAAAATTATGAGAATAAGTAATAGAAATTGTTATAAATATACTTTATCGGTGATTGTGAGCCATTTAGAGTACGTTTCACTTAGAGAGATCGCTATTGTAGGCTGCATATACGATCAGGTTGATTTGATTAAGGCCATTGGACTGTTAGTGCGATTGTCAAGTGAAACTTACCTTTAAAAACGCAATTATATTAAAGAGCAAGTGTATATATATTATTTCCTGTTAACACTATTGTCTCGCAAGAGCATTGATTGTTCTTGTTTCAAGATATATGTATAATTGATTATATATATTTATTGTTTTCATGAAAATTAGAACACGTTTATCAAGTTTTTAAAGGTCTAGTGAGAATATGAAGTTTAAATATTCTAATCATTATTGAGCATTTCTTTCTCTCTTTTTTTTTTCTCTCTCTCTCTCTCTCCATCTATCTATAATCAAATATACCATTTTCTTCAAAAATATATAGATGTTTTGTGACAATAATAATAATACCTTTATCTTTAAAAAGTCTCATACACACAATATTATACTCTTAGAAACGAATCGCAAAACCTTGATACTGTTGCTTTGTGATAGTCTCCCGATTGGTAAATTCACAGTGATGTATTTCACTACCTGGACTACCCACTGTCGTTAACCATTGTGACCTAGAAATTGAATACTTATTACATTTGACATTTGACATTTGACATTTGTACTGTAAATATATTTTTTTTAGATGAGTTGTTACAAAGTTATGTAATTTTAGTGAAAACTTGAGATATAATTTTATGTTTTCCTGCCGGTAGAATTTTACCTAATAAAAAAAATCGAGAGTACTTGATTTCAAGTTTAAGAAGGTCATACTGCGGGCGTTTGTCGTGCTGCCAATTGCATCGTTGACATCGTTACTCGTTACCACACAACTTCGTTTACTCAGTGTGCGTTCTGTGTACGAACGCATTTACCACTAACACTTTACACGCTCCGGAATTATAATTAGCAACTAATCAGACCGAGTTCAGATATTTTTACACGAAGATATCGAAGTGGAATTTGTTGCTAATATTGTGATATAATAGTAATGATAGTAATGATTTTTTTACTCAAGTACGTTTTTCCTCGATATGATTTTAACGCGCGAGTGTTTACGCGCGTGTTCGTGATGTATAGAAGAAACGAGATTATGTAGTAAGTTTGGCTAACATCTCAAAATAATAAATATCTTCTATATCTGACCGTAACTCTGCAACTATTTCTCTGTCAAGGACAAATGGATTCAATCTTACACTTTTAGTCAAATGTGTGCATAGTATTTTTATTCACACACAGACTTTGAGAGAGATCTAGCTCGATTATCTTTTATTTCTCAAGATATATTGAGAAATGTTAAACCGTTTTTTTTTTTTTTTTGTATAAAGTAATTGTATTGACATCTCTCGATGTCCCGACAAACGTACTTTGACATTGTAACGTAGCAACCGCTGACGAAGGAAACAGGTGATACGTCTCATTCCGTCATTACTTCATTAAATCATTATTAAAGTCGATTTTCGAGACATTGCTTGTTACACGACAATTGTTGGTCACGGTCGAGAAACCATCAATTGTAATTAGAAAGATACTATTACTTTAATATAAAGAATGACTTTAAATTCAATTAGTTTTGCTATTTTTGAATTCGAAGTTTCGAGATACAAATTTAACTCACATCTGGTCGACAAGCGCTTGAGGTCCCTGCATCTTCCCAAGAATTGTACCGGTTTTACTGTTTTTCACCCAACCGCAGATACCCAACTGCAAACATATATCCCTTACGTACTTCGGAAAATATACACCTGTAATTTTAAAAGCTCTTGTTTTATGCTAATTAAATTTGTAAAATTTGTTAAACAAACGCGTAGCGACCGTTGAGAAACAAAACTTTGATATATTTATATGTATAAGAAAATTATATAAAATTGGAAAAGTTTTACACGTGAAACTACATGTGTTAAATGAACATACGATTAGTGTTTAGTAGTATTATAATTTTGTCTCTTGCAACGGTTACTCTTTAGATAAAGAAATGCAATTGCAGATAGATAGCTCCGGTTTGGACAATTTATCGTATTCGGATGAGAGCTAATGTATTCTAGCACGCTACTGAACATTTGATAATATACTCACCCTGTACTTTTCCAAAAACTTCGAATTCGACAGATACCAAAGGTTCTCGGCAAAGGGGATCATCCGCCGCCATCCTGTTCGAATCTTAGCAGAATATTGCGTTGGTATAGTGTTAATCCGCAGTATTGTTTTGTCAAGAGACCAAGTGTCAAACAGAATGCACGCGCATGTAGATTAGAAAATTTGATTGGAAAATTTCGTTGCTCACGTCGATCGAAACAACTGTTTTTGTCTTATGACTTCACCTTTCGCCACGACTCGTTGACTGGTTCTTGTTGCACGACGTTCGTGTCTCGTCGCGCATCCCCAAATAGATCACCCCACTAGCTTGACATTGATTCAGATGCAATCGATCGACGATCTATAATTTCTTTTAAAGATTGAGGAAATTATATATTAAACGCAAGATACAGAAAAATTTCTTTGTCATAATTTGATACGTAACTCTATACAGTAAGTATATATAATTTACATGATTTATACATATGTATATATGTATATATGTATATATATATATATATATATACACACACATATATACATATATATATGTAAAACATAGTAAAATCACTATTATATAAAAAATATTATAGAGAATAGGTATTACTAATCGCATCACAACACATAAATACAAATACAAGAGAAGAATAATTGTCATGTCATCAGCAACAATTGATTTCACAATATTTCGATATACGTAGAAAACAATTCTTCCCTCTTTGTGAGCGCGCGGGAGTTCATTGTCGAAACATTAAATGTAGGCCAGGGGACCAAGCATTTAACGTCGAACTAAGCACTTCCCATCCACCGTGCCTGCCGCCTATTGTCCCGTCATTACCTCAGCTAATTAGTTATTAGTACGTTATGACGTAATAATTGTCCGAGCAAAATCTACGGGGTGTACGGGATACGTGGGAGAAGGTTACATTCTACTTATAATATGATCCTGTTTAATCTATTATCGTCATTGTCCAAGGTCTCGTGGTTGACGCTAAACAACGCAGTGATAAATCTATGTAAGTATATGCATTATCCACGCAAAATTTGTAACAACGAGAAATAACTTTCTGTTTGAGAGCAAATTCAAAATATATGCGAATAGCAGATTTAGAATAACTCTTATAACATTTTATACCTCTTACTTTAACTTTTGTACGCAATGGGAGAATACAAAATATACTGTAAATAAATATAAATAATTACAGTAGAAATGAATGAATATGTGAGTAAAGAAGAATCGACACGTAGAAACGTCTAATTAATATTTAATCTTTATTCAGTATTTCTCTCTATATGAAATCATCTTTACGCACGCATTTTTCGTGTGTACACTTTGAAATAAATATATAAATAGTCTTTAACACGCATACACGTCATCTCCATTGAAGATAAAACACACAATGGCCGGCGGCAATGATTTCTATGTTCCAGTTTTTCATTGTTTTAGTCGTACAATCACCTCAGATATTGTACACTTTTTACGTCATATTATTAGTTTATGCACATCGCAACACTTGATCGTAATAATCGTACAGATTTGTCCACTTTGTACGTTCATTCACAGCCACACATACAACTTCCAACTATTCTTTCTGCTGCCATTAACAAGCATCTGTTGTGAAAAATACTTCGTTTATTGTCACTATACCTTGATTATGGTCGCAATAAGGCACGATTAGTACGAGAATCATCCTTAAGCGTTTCGAAGATCAATTCATAAAATCCACGACAATTTTTGATTTAGAAAAGAACACAAAGATCTCGTTGGTATCACGTTGGTGTGTTCAGTTATAACTGGATTACTGTGAATCGTCACATCCTCAGTTTAATTTTCTCCTCTACGACGAGTGAATTAGCGTCCTCATCTATGCGAGAGAGTCTGCATTCGCGGATATAATCGTCACCGCCGTATTATTCGGCAAAAGAGTCCCATTTTCACCGTTTTTCTCGTTTATATCGGTGCGACCGTCGAAATCTTGCGAAGCTACCAATAACTTCTGTTGCCTCGCCTGTTTCTTTTCGCGTTCGATCTGAAGAAGACGATAACGTTACATAAAATATTGATTATGTATATTACAATGTTTATATTTTTTTTTCTAAAGTTTCGATCTATTTTCTAGTTTTTAACGTGTCAGAAATGTTGATTTTTCCGTTTAATTTTTTATTTATGAAGTATTTATAAATATAGACATTTCTCTCACAAAGATAATATTAATTGTACACAAACCTTAAAGAATAATCGAAGATAGTGACACGGAAACACGACGCATTTTCCTTGCTCTTCCTCGGCATCGATATAAACGCCACGAACCAAAATGGTGTTGCCGCAATTGAGGAGGACAAGTAAAACGAAGCAGCCGATGTGAGTGATCCAGCAAGATAATTCCAAGTTATCTGGCAGTAACCACAAGTCCAGCGCGACCCATATACCACGCCAAACATTCACGGTTCCCAAAAAACTCAGAAGAAGAAAAGCGTCTGCGACTATTAAGCGAAACAGACCCTGAAGACGCGTGCAGGCGTATCGCATCAGCGGTTGCAGAGAAAATGTCACAGTGACTATAGAATATCCGATAGCCTGAAATCCAATTATGATATGTTTTTAATAGTTATTACACATCAAAATATACATGATTATTGTTAGAGTATGTATCTTTTGACATTGCAAGAACTCAGAATAGATATATATACAATAGGAAACAACTTGTAAGCGCGCATATATAAATTGTTCTTGATATTTTCTGTGGTTTTTGAGAAAATTACATTTATAACAAAATATTGTTCGTTTAAACACATTTTGAATTCCAACAGTTAATAATAAACGATTTTAAATAATTATTTTTATGCGACAATTATAAATTAAAGATAAAAACAAATCATATGATCTTTTTGAATCAAGAATCCAAAGCGCAAAACGTGTGTGTGTGTGTTCAAAAATGATATATAATATAAATTACATTGGTCGCGCCGACGGTGAAGTGACAAATGACGAATCAGGGATAACATAAAACATTTCATACGCATACAACGACAATTGTGCCATGTGCCCCGGCAATCATACAATTGGCGAATATTCAATTATATAATCGAACTACCGGCGAGTAGTGCCGTGGCACAAGGCACATTCGTACGCTTGCAAAATTTATAGTTTTACGCTGCATTCTTACAATTGTTGTGTTAAACGTGAGAAACTTTGTGCTCTATATAAATCTTTCAATCAAATATGCAGTAAGATATACATTTTCAATTAATAAAAAAAATAATATTCTTTGAAATATTTTAGCACAAAGATTGTCAAGCATCGGCGGTTGTAATTCTTGCATAGATCACATGACTTATGATTATTCGTATGATTTCACTTAAGATGAAATTTCTTAGAAAATAATTATTCAATCAAGATGACATTTCTTGAAGATGACATTTTAATTTTTGACTTGTTTTTATCGCTTAATACAAGTCTTAACGACACCAAATAATTCCGCATCTGATACGGTGATGTTAAGTAGTAAGAAACCTCAAATGTTTTTTAAGTGATGAATATGAATGCGAATAGGCTCAATAACTTCCGCTAAACGTTATTGTGATGCAATTTAAGAAACATATTTCATGTGTAGCAAAAACATACAGGTGTGCCTTCATTACATGTTTCAAGGTTTCCTTGACGGAGATTGATCACGTTGTTGAGTCTGAATCAATCATTTATTTATTGTCAGCAGCTTTTAAATTACATTATATATAACGTCATTTCTTTAGTGTGGCATATTTTTATTTTTGCTATTTATATTTATATTTATCTGCAATCATGATTTAAGTTTGTTTGAGAAACACTTGAATGTATCTTACCAGTGAACCAATGGCAGAATAATGGATATTCTCTGGAAATAAATACATATCGATGAGGCTCCAGGCCCCTCTCCAGACGAAAACAATCAACGTGCCTACCACACCGACGCTAAAAGCACAATCCAGTAAGTACAATGACCAGTCCCTCGTACTCTGCAACCGCAAATTATACAACTTACTTTTCAAATAGTTTTTATGTCACATCATAACAAAAAAAGAGGCATTAAATCATAATATATGATAAGCATACTGTGTGAGATTCTGTTTTATCAATCATAAATTGAATATATTGAGATATATGATTATATATGTGTGTGTGTGTGTAAAGTAGCTCAATCTTATTTGAAATTACTTTGTTGTATTGGTAAAAGAGATTTTTATTTTTGTTTTTCTGTTAGGGAAATACCTGAATGTAACATTGAGAAGTAAATTCAAAAGTAGTAAGAACGTAAATTGAAGAAAACACAGTAGTGTTTACACAAGTTTACTAACGTTAATATTTCTCTGTAGTTTCTTGTCATATTTTGGAAAAAGTTTATTAAAGAAATATTGATAAATGTTTTTTTATTGTTGTATTTAATTTATAAAACAAAATTGTATCGTTCAACAGACTTGAATTTTAAACAAGAAACCAATAAACCGCGTATTGCTGAAAAGATTATAGAGAGAGCTTTTGGTTTATAAAGATATTATCTCGCCACTTCAAAGATAATAGGCAGAAACATAGATAATAAACATATTTTACATAAGTATATATACGCACACACGCTCAGTCTTTCTGCAAATGTAGAAAACGACATTATTGAAATTGATATATATAAACGTATATACAACACATATAATCATGTATATATCATTTTCTCTATCGTACACAAAGACGTAATTTTATATTGCGATACAATAATTATTGCAATACTACAGTTGATTTCGACAGAGTTATATAAGTTAAGAAAATTGATTTGTTTGGCAAAAAAAGACAAGAAAGATAAGGATCTTTATATTAGTAGAAAAGAGAATAGCACGGCAACAAGATAGTGGCGCGCAAATTAGTGCATTTGCACGTATACTGCGCTACGTGCGCACATAGACCATACAAGCGCCAATAGTAGTTGACGATCGGGGGACTTAGCCGGAAACTATGCTTATACACACCGATAACGCGAGCTTGGACGGCGCGAGTAAACGAGGCATACGCAATCCGTCGCGATTTATGACACGCGTTTTATCACAGAATTGACAGTGAGCAATCGCGAGACAATAATAAATATCGACAAAAAAGTTCTTGTCTTTGTAACGTCGCCAGGGGTGATTGGCTTCCAGCGCGATATGTTCGCTTCTCTTCCGTGATCTTCTTTCGCTCTTTCTCCTTTCAAGAAACTGACAAATTTTTGTTAAAATTTTTACTAAAAAAAAGGCTAAGAGAAGATAAACTCTCTCTTGCATTGTTTGCTATAATATACCATGTGTAGTATTTAATCTTCAAGAATCAACACAGGTATTTTTCACGTCATTTACAACAACAAAGTTTTCTTGTTCAATCTACTTTATTTTTGTCTTATCGTGCAAATGTAAATACATTGCACAAGCAAGTATAACAAGTCTTTACATAATATATCTTCGAGTGTGCATTTAGTATTTCGATGATACATCATCGAAACACGTTTCGTTGACAAAGAAACTAAATAAGAGAATATAATACATTTGATAACATATCTTTAATTTTTCAAGATGTACGGCAGAGAGTTGTAATATAGTAATATTTATAATATGGTATAACATATATACATATTTATATGTATATACTTAGGGTCAAGACGCTGAAGAGAGTTCAGAACTAGGTGATGTGCAATATATACATATCGTCACCTGTGAAGGCCTGATTGGCCACTGGGACCCTATTCTGTACACTTGTACCGACAATTATCGGTTTATGTGATGTTGTGCAGCTAATTTTGATATCAAAACAGCTGCGCACCGATACATGTTGCATGTTCATATTATTTTTTGTGGAACATAAGTGACGATACATTCTCATTTTTATTAGAATGATATAAGTGACGTGTGAACATATAAAAGACTAATACCTCTATATACTTACGTCGACGCGAAACATAGTCTGCACTTCGAAATAGCCTGGACATGAGTCGAGAACAAGCAAAAACGGCGGCGCGGAGACATTGCGAATCGCGCGCATGATGCCGAGCGCGAGAAGGCTCGTGATTATTGTTGCGAAGACGGTGCTGGGTGTCAGCTCCGTGTAGATGTCCAGGGCCTTCCAAGCTCCGCGCCAGGCGTTCACGCAGCAAAATCCGAACACGAAGGTGTAGAGACGCGAGCCGAAATAATAAGATAGTCGGTGTTTGTCCGGGTGTAAAATATCGTCTATGGTACGTTGCAATACGGTGAAAGCAAAAAGACCGGTGAAGCCGATTGTGATTGATGCGAAGCTACTGAACACCGGCTCCTGCGGGTAGACGTAGAAGTCGCTGAGCTCCCAAGTACCGCGCCAATAACCGACCACTGCCGGCGCGACTACGGACGCGGAGAATATTGTGTCTAAGATTGCCAGGATGGCGTAGTGCAAACGATTCGACGATTTCATGTCGAGGCTTCCGGTCATCCCGCGCAACTCGACCATTTTCATCCAGTCTGGATCGACTTTAACAGTCGCACCGCTGGTCATTATGCATGGTCATTATACTTATCGAGATTAAATTGACAATTGTGTGTAGAAAAAAAAATAGATGCGCGCTCGCGCTCTTAAATATCAACTTAAGAAGAGCGGCAACGTTCGATGTTTTACTCCAGACATTTTCAGATCGAGTCGGACTCAATTTCAATTTAACTTATATTCGTTTTAAAGCAACTCATTATTAGTACCATCGTCAGTATCATTGTTGCAATCATCGCGGCAACGTAAATTTATCTAAGGACATGCTTTCAATGTGTATCATGTTTCTTCATGTTTGGGCCAAACTTCTTCGGTGCTCTTTCTGAGGAAGATGTAAACCGCGTCCTTTTTTTCCAAGATGTTCCTTCAAGTCTCTTCTAGTGATTAGTAAGAGACCTCTTCCTATTTCTCAGATAGTATCACACAATTTCGGCATAAATTTTTTCATCACTGGAATCACGTACCGAGACATAAATAGAAGCAAGTTTTGTGTACCGACAACTCAATCCTCAATCGTCGCGTTCAGCACCGATGAAGATCGGCCGGCCGAACTGCGGGATGACTACTGACTTGTCTTCGGGATAACTGCTATCTTTTATCAACTGCTAACCGCTAAACGCGGTCCAACACTATCGCATTATCGCGAACATTGTCGCTCGCGCGGCGAACCACCGGCACAGAGGATAGTACTCGCGACATAATGCTCTCTCTTTCTCCCTCGTTCTCTCCTACACCGACGATCCCCACCCGTATGATACGCATATGTGCGTTATAATCGCTTCGTTCCATCGTATATATCACGGTTGGTATCAAGGATTAGAATGATCGGTGACGAGAGCCACGCGTGTTTTAGCAATAATGAGAAGCAATAATGATTCGAAGACGATTCGGCAGCGCACGCGATCTTCAAAGATCTCAAAGCGTTTATAATTTGTGACAAGACGTGAGCACGTGCAACTTATAATATATGGATTGTGTACGTGCAATCTATGAAAGGGATTGTGTTACGCGAAACATTGTAATATGACAAATACGTGCGAATTTCGGAATTAAGATACAAAGGAAAAAGTTCCTTATTATGCAAAAAAAAAACATGCTAAGCTCTCCAAAATGCTTTTTTTTACTGCATTAATTTCTCATTCCCTGATATCCGACTGAAAATATAAGAATAACGCGAACAATCTCTATCTAACGATCCTCATTAATCTTATGCAACTTTATGAAAAAGAAAGAGAATACTTCGAGACAATACCATAATTTTTAGTCACCTTGATGCTGCTTTTTTTGAATGGTGTTTCCTCGTATTTATTTAGCCATTGAGGTATACTCATTTAGCCATTGACGCTTTAGGCAAAGTCGCGCCGTTAATCGACTCCTTTTTGTGTGCCAATTAAGCTTGGGTTGCAGCATTTTCTCACCTTCGTTCACTAATCTCGACAAATCTTGTCAAGGGCATAAAATTTGCTGAAGCATTAAATAATACAATATACAAAATAAAAGTAAGATTTACTTCGAGACTGTGTACTTGAATATTTCTTATTCTATTAATGTTTTAGTAATTTATTACACATTTCTTGTTATTAAGATTTAACGACACTTCGTCATCGGAAATTTTTTATATTGAGAAGAAATAATCGCATCTATTTCTTAGATAAAAGCATTACTCGATGTTGAACGCGATGTCGATCGTTATAGTCGCCGATTCGAGATAAGTGCGATTGAGAATGGATAATACATACCATTTTTCAAAGATAAGGAAAATTCACCTGTATCTATATATAAACAATCAGAACGCCATCGTATATCTTTATTATCAGCGGCAAATAAATATTTCGCAAACTTCCGGGGAAAACCGAATGATCGAAATATTAGCTCTCTTTATTTGCAAAATTGCAAAAAAGTTTTTGACCGTAGTACATCTCAGAACTCTTTTGGTTTGCTTTCCTATACTTTTGAGTAACATAATTCGTACGTTTTATTTAAGTAGAGTGTTTTGTTATATTTTGTGTTTTTTTAAGAGAAAGAGAACAAAATATTCTTTAATATATACATATATATTATCTAAACATATATAAAAACCACTAGAATTAGAAATATGTCACTGCAATTCAAAATTGCAAATAAAACATGACAAAAATATTTATCACATCGAGGAGAGAGAAAAGGTAAAGCGGTAGAGTATGCGTTCGTGAGGATTACTGCGTATGAGACAAATTTTCCGTTAGTTCCTTTTTAGTACATATCTATCTCTTCTATATCTGAAGCAAGAGAAAGAGAGAGAACTGATAACGAAAGCTTTGTTTTAAGAACAATTGAAAAGTTGCTGATTTGATCGTCTTCTAAGCAAAATTACAGATAATATAATTCTCGATATTAAATATTGGAAAAAAACTGTCTTTTCACTCATAAAAATATATAAACCTGTAATTTTGCAATGATTTATTATGTAATGCAAACCATGCATAATTTAACAAAATGTTTTAAATACATTTTACGTCAGATAAAAGAAAGAATATTTACACAGATGTGCGATTGCAATCACGTGGATATATTAATTACATATACGTGATTTGGATGAATTAATTTCCAAAATTAATATAAAATTGAATTGTGAAGTGAAAGTGAAGTGTGAGTAAAGACGATTACGCAGAAATATACTTTATCTTGAATTTTCTATATGTATGAATTGTTCTTCATTTTCAAATTAGCTAGAATGAATGTGTGCATTCGCTATATGCAAATGTCGTTTGGCAATCGAGGCGGTTCTTTAGGCGGTAATCGAAAAAAAGACTGTCACGATTGTCAAGACAGTTTAAAAGACTCGTGACAATTGTAAAATAGGAATAAACAGAAAGCTCTCTTTAAGTGAATACAAAAAAAAGATAATTTTATCTTTAAAATCTACAAATTTGCACAATAAGCAACAAAGTACTTCTTTAAATATTGCAAATATAATAGTTTTCATTTTTTTTCATAAAAAAGTAGATTATACTTTTACACTTTTTGACTCACCGTATTATATCTGGTAGGAAATAGAAAACATCTCGGCGTATCGATGCAAATTAGGAATGGAACGTGCATCAAGTTTCGAATGCAACGTAGAACTGCCAAGCATGTCAATAGCAAACACGTCAAAGATGTGTTATCCTATTACAAGATAATACAATTTTTTAACTGTCTGCTATGAATCTTTTTTTTCAAAAAGAAATATATATGTGTGTGTGTGTGTGCTATCATTCAATTTCTTTAAATCTTTATTAATAATAATAATGAGTCCTTTAAGATAAAAGTTTCCAGTGATTGATAATATGATTTAAAAATTACTCTTTTTCACGTTCTATTTTTAACAGACTAAAACCGATTGTGTCAATAAAATGTTAAAAATTATCGTCTTACCATATGTATAAACAAGAAATTATCGATGACGCCCCAACCACCTTGCCAGTGCATGATGCACGCCACTCCGAAAATGTAAGTGTACAGAATTCGTGACGTGCGATAAAATAATCGCTTCCGTGAGTTTAATTCAGTCCATTTTTCATTCATGTAAATGTTGTAAAATCGACTCTTGCAAATCGTGAATATCATGCTCAAAGCAATGCCGAATATAAAAATGAACCAGACGGGAAACCTGTTGATAAAATCTTTTTACATGATATACATGCATATATGTGTATATGAAAAAAAGTTATTTTCCAGTATTTGCAAATACCAGCATTTAACATTTCTTATGGGTGGAAAAGTAATTAAATTTATTAATTATTCATACTAGACGGAAAAACATTCATTTCAAATTTTTATTAGACATCGATTAGATGATGACGTTACATGAAATGACGTTATACATGATTACAGACGTCTAGTAAACGTCTTTAATCATGGATTGTGTTATTTGTATTCTCGTTGATTCAGTGTTAATCTTACGTGCGTCATCGATGTAAAGTATAAAAAATTTATATTGAGATAACAGCGTCCTATTAAATATACCTATCTTCTAATTGCCTGATAGTGTTTATGTAGTTAGTTTTACAATATTAAATTTCTCGAGTGATAAATATAATTTATCAACCAATTTATATCAAGTAGTAATCGAGCATAATGACTGTATAATACCTCAACAAAGATATAACTATGATCATCGCTTTTCATTTATTCACACTTATTGCACTTTTTTGATTGACTTTTCCAGTTTTGAAAAATATTATTTTATACTCACACTTTCAGATAAAGATTTATCAAGTTCCATGCTCCTCTCCAAGATCCAATCACCAAAGGAGCAATTATACCCACGGAAATTAATATATCGAGTAAAAAGAATATACGTTTTTTTCTCGGTCGTTTTGGTCTTTCTGCTAATTCGTCCGTTGGTTTGAACAATTCCTTAGAGAGATTTTGCAAGTTTTTTTTTTACAACGTACACACGTTAAAAGAAAACGTCTCAAGGAAGAAATTAGGGTTTTTCTTTAGGAAAAACCAATAGAGAAAAAAATGGACATTACCTTCGAATTGTTTTGTGTTGTCTTATCGACACTCGACACTGTTTCGTTAGTTTCATGATTTTCAAGTTGTTCCGTTTCTGCTTTATCAATCATAATTAAATGAAATAATTATTCTTATATTTACCAGTTGATGTTGATATTTATATTACGCAATATTTCTGCATTTTAAATGTTTTCTGAATATTCGAGAATCTTATATGTAATCCCACACAACACACGAGTGACTGATTGTCGACTTTTAAAAGTCAACTATAAATTGACTAGAGTCGACTATTTGCCGACAATTAGATAGCTTTGAAAAGTTAATTAAACATAATTATTGTCGACTCAAACATAATTGTATTTAATCAGCAAGGTGATGAAGGCTCCAAATATCCAAGATAAACACAGTAATGTGACAATAGAAGCACGAACACTGTTGTTTGTGTGTTGAAAATTTATTGAATATACAGAGTGTACACGTTTCAACACACAAACAACAGTGTTCGTGCTCCCATTGATCTTGTCACTTAAGAGAGTACTGGATACCGACTATAGATATCTGTAAATCGACGTTTTAATATTTTATTTTGTGTCGTATTTACTGCATTAAATCCAAAATGCTTCTCTAAAAATAAGTAAATTGTGTAAATTCATATGAATGGACATAAACTAATAATATGGATATAATATGTGATGAAGAAGATGTGTATCACTTTGCAACATATTCGATAAATACTTTACGTTTAACTGAGCAATGATAGGACGACTTACAGCATCACGGCCTGGTGTCGTATTATTTCGCAAATCTCAGAATACGGTTACATACAATCCAAAAAATAAAACAAAATAAAAACAAGTATAGTAGATCAATCAATTGCAAATAAACGGATTTTGTTTCGATATTTTATATATTCGCTTTGTAGATTTTTTGTGTTTAAACTTTTATATATACAAAGTAGAAATGTGTGGTGTATATATTATACATACAAACCTTCTCTTCGCTTTATTCAACGAATAAATCTTATTTATCAGCACAAAACAGGATATAATACAATAATTCACACTTGTGTTTTTATTTTGTAGGCTTTAAATTAATATTCCGTAACGTACATAAGTCTCGCGCAGCAGCTTTGCGTCCAATTATACTTTGTATGTCGTACAGCCTTAACAAGATATCAGTCGTGAATGATTCGGGCAATGCTTTCAAAAGACAGGGTACCTAAAAACAAACGTACAATTTTATAAAGCAAAAAATGGAAAACAATTCAATTTTTTAAGATTGATATTTTCTAACATATTTTTATAGTACAATAAAGATTAAACTATATCATCATTCTGTGAAGATATATAACATACTAGTGTTTGCGGCATCCCTTGCAGCACTATACGAGTTCTGTCTTTTCCACATTGTACTGTGAGACGCAGGAACTGAAGTATGAAGTGGGTCTGTTGCGACACCTCACCATCTCTACCGGCTAGGAAGTCAAATATAACGAACAGATTGTTCAACGCCGTCATAAGCGGATCCCTCAGGACAATCGATTTTTGTCCGTTATTCGAGCAGTGCGCCTGCGGACTTTGTGAGCCAAACATGGGAACGTTTTCTCCCGTCTCGTTCAAACGCAAAAGTTTGTTAGACACGCCGAGAGCATCCAACTCGTCCGCATCCAAATCTCGTCGCGTGCGTTTTCGACTATTTCCTCTATTGGGACTCGAGTTGTTGAACTCCAGAGTGGAGAAAATGCAGTACACACACAACTTCGCCAGGATAGACGACTGAGGTTCCACAAGTTCGTCACTTCTATGTAACACACAAAAATACGTTTAACAGGTTTTATATATTTGAGACTAAGTTTTACTTATTTGATTTTAATAACAACGATAAATTCTTACTGTAACGAATTGTGCAGGTACTGCGGTATTACGTGATTTATAAGATCCAAAGTACAGTTTTCTATATCGAGATGAAAAACTGCAAAAGCTAAATCCACAGCTTGATCCAATTCCTCCTGATAACGATACTTCAGCACTTGCTTGACTATATTCGTGACAAACCACAAAGAACCACCAGTATTTAACAAAGACTCCAGCGACTGCGTGGCTTGTATAGTTATCCATCCACGTTGATTTATGTTTTGCCAAACACTTTCCAATTGTTCCAATATTGGCTGGCGTGATATAATACTGTGAAAGAATGCAAAAAAGTAAACTATTAAAAGTAAACCGCTGTAAAACAATAATGAGAATTTATCTTCAAAAAACACAACAGTACTTGTGTGACATTGAGAGTATCTTCGTTTTCGACTGGATAGGCGGATGGACATCGTACTGCATCTTTCGAATAATTTGAAACATTAAACTGGATCTAAAAAAAGTCAAAGTGTTTTGTAGAAGCTTCAAAATGTTTTGAATTACGTAACGTCTGTTACATAATTTTTTAAACACATCTTAACTAATTTTATGTTGTTTTAATTTTTTGTCTTTATACGCACAGACCTCTCTTTAAGATTGTCTTGGATCTCGTCGTCAGGCAGCGGCGTTAGAAACTGTTGAACCATGTTCATAGGTTTCAGCAAAGCGTCCTGATGAGTGATACTCATGTATGCGCATAGCCACGCAGCCGCGCAAACTGGCAAACAGCATGCTACCGCGCGCAAACCATCTAGTGCTCGTTTAACATCGCCAGCGCCTAACACACCGCTTTCCCACGCAAACAGCAATTCTTCCACCGCTCCCATTGCTGCTTGACACATTACATGCCACTTGAAATTGCTCGATTTAAAATCGGGATCCGGTGAATTAATCTGCGCCAGCAGAGCGTCTACTCGCGTTGGATCTACACTTTGTAGCATTCTTTGGGGCGATTTGGGCTTATTTCGTTCCGGCATACATTCGCGTACCCATTGTTCAAAAAATGAGTTTCCGCCTTCTTCCAAAACTACGTCAGAGCCATACGTTTGCACTATGAAACATAACATGAGAAAAGACACGTCGAACAATATTGCTCGTGTTGTTGCCGATTTGCTGCTCACAGGTTCGTTGATCTGTTTGCTGCATTCGTTAAACTTGATAAGTTTGGTAACAAAAATTTTTAATTTTCCTTCTACACTTGCCACGGCTAACATTAGCTCGAAGCTCTTCCCTAATAGAACGTGATGCAACAACATGTTCAATAAGGAATCCTGAATTTTTGTGTAATCAGCATTCATCGTTTTCAAGATACCGTCCAATGGAGGTTCTGCGCGTAGAATTACCTTCGGAATACACGGTGTCATAGTGTTGGACATGTCTAATTTCTGCAGAGGTATTGTAACTACCTCTCTGTAATAATAACACGTGATGAAAATTCCTATCACTTGATACAATTCAGCTAATTAAAAGTTTCAACAATCCGTTTACATATACATCACCTTCTGGAATTTATTTCTTTTGCTTGCATCTCCGTCACAAGGTTTACTTTCTGCAATTCATTTAACAAACTATCCACGCTATTACACGTACACTTGTTATCTACCATATCCAGCAACGCTGTAAACTGAAGCAACAGCTCAAACGCGTCTAAAATGTCTTGCGAATACTCGAACTTCTCGTCACCTGCAATAGCATAAGAAGCTACGAAAATCAAATTTAAATTTACAGCATTTGGGAAATATCAGATGCTTTTGTATCACATAGTTTTTCACTAACCGTTTAGACTAGCTGCGTGCAACTCTTTCAATATAAGAGATACTTTTAGGAACGTGAAAGCCCCCCATTGCGACTCCTTAGACGTTCCTATTGCATTATGCAGGCACATCAAACAAGCACGAATTATCTCGCAGTAAAGTTGTGCATTTGTATAGCTCTTCAATCTCTGCACCATTAATAGCTGATTGACAAAGACGGATGTCTCAGTGCAGGGATTCAATAACACCTGAACTGCGAAAAATGGTTGCAAACAATAAGTGATAGATTCCATCTTGGTTTTCTCAGGACAAAGACTCTCAATTTCCAGATTACACAGCTTCTTCAGAGAATCCTCTATTGGCATCGTGGATTTATGAGTGCTTGATTTTAGTAATGTTTCGATTTCTTGGCACTTTTTCACAACTTCTGTATATAAATCTGAGAAACAATGCACAAACAAATATGAAATAAACTCTTTTTTATAGATCTTAATTGTGACATACATCCATTGATATACCTTTATCATCATATTTCGCTAAGTACATCATTGCACATAGAAAATCTGAATTCAGCATCTGCTGCAAAATGTTTGCAGGTTTATCTACTAGCTCATTCGGAGAATTAAGAAGATTATTTTGAGGACCCTTCGCCAACGCGTGTAGGTAGCATTGCAAGAGCCAGTAAACAATTGATAAAACTGCTGCTGCTAAAAGGTCCTCTTCAGGTTTACCACGACATGTAATACCAACTTGTATAGATTCCAAAAACTCCAATAAACTCACAATACAATGAGGCTTGTGAAAAGCATCATATTTACTTATCCTCTGTAATACAGCTGCATATGATACTAACTGCAAAAGAAAATTTTGTGAATATTTATATATGTATATATATATATTTAGAAAACTTTCATCACTTAATATACAATTAACATAAAGTGTATATAGCCAAATATATTTTATTTTATTATTTATAGCAAACAAACCTGTGAGCTTAATGAGTGTTTTAAATATGACAACACTAACTGATTAGGTCCTGGTCCCACTAATGCTTGCTGCAATATACAGTCAGCTAAATTATATACATCACCGCTTACCCCTCTTGGAAGAATCTAGAAAGATTTGTCTCTCAGCTCTCAGAAAATATTACAGAAAAAATATAATAATCATTATATAAATAGCATGTAAATACTTACTGTTTTGATATTGATACCCCATTGTAGATCAGTCCAGCGTTCTCGCCATGCCCGTAGCAAGAGAGCTTTTAAACTGCTGGTTTTACTAGTTACTTTGGTCTCCATTGAGTTAATATGTTAAAACATTATGACATTGTTATCACATTAAAAATCTTTTACAATTTGCAGATACAATAGCTGTGTACCTGTAACAAAAAAAAAGACAATATTCTGAAAAGTAGAGAAAAAGAAAAGAAGAAAACATTTTTTTCAACTCTTTCAACTTTTAGGCCTGTTCTATAATACAGTATTTAAGCTGTAAGTCGTAAGAAATTGATCAATTACAGACAAATCACAGAAAAATAATCGATTGTGATTGGTCAATCTCTTACGACTGTATTATAAAACAGACTTTATGCAAAGGTCAAATTTCTTCACTTTTAGATAAGTTCTCGATAACTTTATCTAAAAGATTAATAGCTACTGGGAGATACGAAGAAATCGACAGAAAGTAATGCAATTATTATATACTTACAAAATAATTTACTAGTATCTTACATAAAGCTTCTGAGAAAAGACAAGATTGTGAGCGAATGCTTGTGAAAAAATACTTTAAAAGCATGTTACTAAAATATGATTATTTGTTATAAAACATGACACATAAATTATACATCAGCCTTATCCTAAGTTTTACAAAATGGTTAGTTTAAATTCGTGCAACCACATATATACATTGCAATAATTTTAAATTTCTCTTACAGTCTCCAATGAAATTCAAGTGGTAATAGCTCGTTGTAATAGTGAGTTTTGAAGAAATTTCTGTTTTTAACACCGGCTTCCACAAGTTGAGCGTGATGTCACGTAAGTGAATGCAGTGTCTCCTCGCTTGTTGCTTCCACACTACGATGCTCTTGGCGGACTCACTCGAGTTGCGTTGCATGTCGTTAATATCAAGGCGTACAGCGCGGAATAGAACCACACGCAGTGGACATAGCATGGAAAAGAACCGTAGACTTGCATGCACGCACCGACAAATCGTTCGTGGATATGGTTACGCAGTTGCCAATGTGCACCACCGTAAACAATAGCGCTAGCAACCATCACGGCCAACTTAACGTAAGAGCCATTGCACGTAAAAAAATTTTAACTGTAACCGTAAGATCGTAAGCAAATCAACCAATTACAGACCAGTATTATCTTCCATTAGTTGGAATGCTGGCCAGCGATTGATCAATTTGCTTACGACCTTGCGATTACATCTAAACTTTTTCTACGTGCAATGGCCTTAACGCGTTACGAAAGACTTTGTGCGGAGGCCCTAAGTTAACTTCTGCTGAATTCAGCAAATGCCGAACGCAGGACGCAGGCAGGTTTGTTGCGCAGCAACTTGTTTTGTCTGCGCAAAGATTCATGCAAAGTTACAAAATATGAAAGCTGGTCGATCTTTCCAACTTTTCGGTACTAATTTCTGGCATGGTGAACATAAATTTTATATATTTTATTCTTGTATATACAAATATTTATTACTTTTTATACATGTTTGCTTCGATTTGAATATATCAACTAAAAAAAAAACACGCAGCGGTTATGTGTTAATCCAATCGAATATCATCTTTTCACAACTCAATCGTGATTGGTCACATGATTAATCACGTTTGCTTGAGAAGCTATTTTGTCGAAAAATAAGCCTTTGTTTCCGGTCCTATCTTTTCTAGCTAGTGTATCAAGTGGCAGGAGCGAATGCTTGTAAGAAATCTTTGATGGTGCTTAAGCTGTTCAACGAATATCATTGTGATAAATATTGATCGAAGATATAAGGTGTACGACACAGTAAGATTTTTAGTACGTATACAGGTAAGAGTTATAATTTTTGTTTGAGAGAGCACCATTTTTATTCTTCTGTTTGTCGGTTATTTTCATAAAAAACATAAAAATGTTTTTCAGACAAGTTTGAGACACGTGTTACTGTAGTTTTATCAGAAATATCAGAAATATCAAATCAGAAATATCAAAAAAACTTATCAAGAAAATTTAGTTTCTTCTATCAAAACTGACCGCATTGGTTTATCACAATATAAAATAAAATATTAAAATGGGAGGGAAGTGATAAATACGAGGCAAAAACTAGATCTTCGGGTCAACTTTTTTATTTGAAAAAATTATTTTAACAAACGATTTCACGAGGAAGAATAAAGAAGATAAAATATTAAATTTAAACAATTAAATATTAAACCATCAAGCATCTGTATCAAGTAAACAAAACACTTGTGCATTTTGCCGCCTAGTGCTAATAAGATTTGGCGCAAAATATAAACATAATTTGATATTATATAAATGTTTACTTGACAAAGTTGAACAAAACTGAAGCTATACAAAATTTAACCTTAGGGACAAATATATATATAAACCGTTCTTTTTTAGAAAGTAATCTTGTTTCTCTCTTTAAAAAAATCAACTTTCTATACTTGAGTGTCGACACACTGCTTACGAAATTCACTGCCAGTATTCACCGAAGTATTCATCGAAAATCTAATATGTCACGAACTAAAAATTTTCAGACTTCGACCGAGTGAATAACAAAACGCAACCTAAAAAACACTTCTATAAAGAATAACACATTTTGACTGTTATTTACTGTTTTAATTCTGAGTGGAATGTATTCGATTTTTGTCTTTTTAATTTTTTTAAATAAAAGACGAATAAAGAAAATAAAAGAAATAACAATCGAAATTGATGCTCCAATAACATTTAAATTGGATGGTGTAGTGTTGTAGCAGCTAATGAGTTATTTACTTCCATATAAAATCAACTCCAAAAAGTTTTATATCATAAGTATATAAAAAATTTTTCACAAGTATATAAAATTTTATTCGCGACGCGAAGAGAGTATAATATTTCGTTAGAATAGTGATTCTCAAACATTTTGGATTCAAAGCACACTGTAATACAGATAAAATAAAAATTATCACAAAACTTTTTGTGCATAAAATTAAAAATTTATATAATTACAGCAGAATTCTCCAAATACTTATCAAATTCTTTATAGATCGATAGATCGGATTATGAATATTATTTTAAAAGTAGACTTTTAAGAGAGACAAACAACTATATATAAAATTTTGCTTTTCTTTTCTTATCAACCGGTAGCCGAAATCGGAAGTTATGTAATTGGTTTTCTCATTTTTAAGCTATTAATAACCTGTTATTTATATCTGATGATAAATCGATATTTTCTCATTAAAAACTTTTTTTTAAATATTTTCTTATTGTTTTAATATTTTCATAATACACTCAAGATGCACCGTTTAAGAATCACTGTGCTAACAAAACATAAGTTTGTATTTATGATTCGTATCCGTTTTTAGAAGAGCAGTATCTTTAGTTTTTAAGACTCTTTACTGCTATTAGTATTTGATAGAATTAATTGCGAAATTACACATCAAACATTTCTTTCTTACACAAATTAATAAATAAATTTTAATAAATTTTTATAAATTAAAAATTTTTATAAATTTTTATATACTTTATTAACTTTATTTTTTCTGACAATACAAGAATATGTGTGAATTTTATATATGTATATAGTACATATTACATATACATGTATAATACATTTATACATCTATAGTATATAATATAGATATACATTTAAGAATCAATACTATCGAATGCTGGTAGTGGCATTTGAACAAACTAATAAATGAAATGAATTTTAAGATCTTTATACATTCAGCAGAAGTTACTGCTTAGTAAGCAATTAGGGCTTATTTTATCTGCAAATGACTTATTCTGATAAGATAAGAAGCAAAGAATCTAGATTATATATATGTATATATACATATATGTAGGTTATAATATAGGCAAAGTATATATTTTGCAAGTATGTTAATATTTTCCGCGTATAAAGTATAAGAAGTAACTATTATATAATGAAAAGATAATTGTATTATTATAAAAACTATTCAATTCCAGATATGTCTAAGCAAGAGAAAGATAGGGATTTTGATCCCTCAAAACCTTCAACCAGTGGGTATCGCAAATCCAGGTCAAGTCCTTATTCAAGACCGAAAGTAAGTAAAAATTAATTGAGTTACTATTTAAACAATTTTGTCTTATAGACCTTAAAATTAAATTTACATATATATTTTTTTTCTGTGCATAGGAAGACCCACACAAATATTCTCACAAAGAACACAAGGTTGGTATATACATAATTTACGAGATTATTATTTTAAATTTTAGTAACTATATTTAAATATTACGTTTAAATATATATAAATAGATTGTTATAAGATTGTCCTAAAGTTTTTCACCAATTTTTTACCTGTTCCTTCACTGGGCATCCTTTGTCCGACATTTTTATGCTCTAAGAAGCAATAAAACCTATTCATTGGTTGTTGATATTTAATTTTCTAAGCAAAAGAAAGATATTCTTTAAGAATATTTGGTCGTGAGCATGAGATGATGGTATTAATGATAAAATAACTTTGCAAACTGTATATGGTGTGTTTTAGGAAGTTATTTAAATAAATTCTCTATTAAAAAATTTTTTTCAACTGTTTAAGTTTTAGTAATGTTTTATTATTTATTTTTATTTTATTATTATTTTGATTTTTCTTATTTTAAATATAATAAGAATTTTACATGCAATTAACGTGTGTGTAAAAAATAAGATATTTTGAATTTGAAAGTTTTAAAGTAGTTGAAAAAAGTTTAAAAAGCACTATTGGTTTTTATTCTTATTTTATATATGACTGCAAATTTGTTTATATTATAATAGCGCACTGACAGTGAAAGTAAACATTCTGTAAGTTCACAATCAACTTCTGTTTCTACTAAATATGAAATCAAAGAAGAGGTCATGGAAACCAGTGAAGAGATGACAACAATAAAATCAGGTACTACATTTAATCTTCTTCTATTAGATTTCTGTTTCTATATATATATTTTTCGATTAATGTTATTAAAATGTTTAAAATTTTATAAAAATTCGTAAAATTTTTAAAATTAAAATGATTGTCTTATATATGATAATTATAGAAATATCTGAAACTGAAAATATCGAAACGAAAGAACGACAACAGGAAAACTTTTTCGTCACAAGACCAAAATCTTTGACCAACAAAAAAGGTCAGTATGTAGAGCTAAGCGAGACTTACCATTTTTAAATAATACAATTACGAAGAGCAATTAATCTTATGCATTATTTCGGATACTTATCTATCACTTTTATATTCAATTATTTTTCTTTTTTTGAACGTAGTAAAATAATTCCAGAATTTTTTTATTTTTATAGGCGTATCCGGACACCAAATAGCGCTTCAGACAAACCAGTTTAAAATGATTACGGTACCTAATTGGGGTCTTTATATGTATCGAGTCGACTTCACTCCGGAAGAAAATCGTACAGTTGTTCGCAAAGGCATGTTAAGACTCTATAAAGAAAAAGTTGGTGCTTATCTTTTTGATGGTACATTATTGTATACCACTAGACGGATTCCAGACGTAAGTATATTGTTACTAACTGTGTATATTTAGTAACAACACATTATCATCACTACATCAATCACTTGGTCAAAACTAAAGTTCAAACTGAGAAATGCAACATTAGGAGATTAAAACACTCTAATTTAACCAATTCTAATTGTTATTAGTTAAGATTTCCATTTAATTCAACTCATAAACAAATTCTTGATTTTAAAAAATATATAAAAATATTCTATAAATATAAAAAGATGAATATACTTTCAGAAATTGGAACTGAATACTGTCAGACAATCTGACAACGAAAAAATCACGATCAGCATACGCTTAGTTGGGGACGTAATGCCAGAAGATCGACATTATATGGCAATTTTTAACGTGCTAGTGAGAAAATGTCTAGGTCATTTGAAATTGCAATTAGTGGGTCGTGATTATTATGACGCTAAGGACAAGGTTATAGAAGGATATATATTTTTATTTGTTAAAGATTTAGCAACAACTTTTGTAACAAATGAGTGATTTTATGTTATAGGTCGTTCTTGCTAAATACAAACTTGAAATGTGGCCTGGCTATATAACATCTATAAGACGACATGAACAAAGTATCTTGATGACTATTGAACTATCACATAAAATATTACGCCAAGATACTTTATATAATATACTGGAAGATTGCTACAGATCTGGTCGTGATTATAAAGTAATAAATTTAATTACGACTGCATTTATGTTATATTAGTTATACACATTGTATAATTTATATGTACTTTTATATAACTATATATAAATAATATTTTTCAGCAATCATATTTAAATACAGTAATAGGAACTGTTGTGCTTACGGATTATAATAATCATACATATCGAATTGAGGATGTCGATTTTGATGTAAGTCCTGCTTCAACATTTAATATGAAAGGAAAAGAGATATCTTATATGGATTACTATAGTACAAAATATTCCATAAACATATTACATCCTACACAACCAATGTTAGTAACAAGAGTGAAACGAAAAGATCGAAATGCTGGTCAAAACGATCTTGTTTATTTGGTTCCCGAACTGTGTCGTTCTACAGGTACTTTGCGTACATGTATTAAAAGAGTTAATTAATTTATATATCTGTTTTAATTATATATATATATATATATATATATAATCTAATAACTAGTACTGTAATATATATCGATCTTACATAACCATTCTCTTTATATACTAATAAAATATTTTTACAATTTTAGGTTTAAGCGATAGTATGAAAGAGAATTTCCATCTTATGAGAGATGTGGCTACATATACTCGTCTCCATCCACAAGCTCGAATCGAAAAACTGTTGAAATTTAATAGGAGATTACGTCAAGAGCCCAAAATCGAGCAAGAATTAAAAGACTGGGAAATAAAATTAGACTCAAATCTAGTTGAAGTTACTGGTCGTGTATTACCATCTGATAGACTCACGTTTGGTCACAATTTAGTTGTTTCATGCAGAGAAGGAGATTGGTCGAGAAACATGCAAAGAGCACCTTTATTTTATGGGAAAGAGTTGAGAAACTGGGTAATAATGGGGACTCATCGATCTAGCCATAGTATAATGGTGAGAAATAAAAATATTAACATAAAAGATCGAGAAAGAGAGAGAGAGAAATGTTTTTCTAATTTTTTTATCAATTTTACTTTTTAGAATTTTGTAGAAATGATACGTCGGGTAGGACGCGAAATGGCATTCATTGTTGAAATGCCGTATGTACATTGGTTAAATGATGATAGAGCCAATGCATATGCTGAAGGACTTGAAATCGTTCTCAGTAGAGGTTGTCCACAATTAGTATTCTGTGTAGTGAGCAATAACCGCAGTGATCGTTATTCAACTATTAAGAAGAAGCTGTGTGTAGATAGGCCTGTGCCATCTCAACTTTTCCTGCAAAAAAATTTAAATGGTAGAAATACTATGTCCATTGCAACAAAAGTTGCAATACAGATGAATTGCAAATTGGGAGGTGCTCCTTGGCGAATTGACGTTCCGATAAAAGGATTGATGACCATTGGCTTTGATGTATGTCGTGATGCAAAAACAAAAGGAAGAGATTTTTGTAAGTATCTCTAAAAACTGATTCAATGTGCAATATACATAAAATGTGTTTTTATTGGGATATTTTAGTAATAAATAGCTTTATTCTTTGTTATTTTTTATCTTTTTCTTAAATTTTTATTATTTTTATATTGTTTCAATGCTGTAAAGTAAATTAATATCGCCTTGTGATTACAGTGTCTATGGTAGCCACAGTCAACCAAACACTAACTAGATTTATTAGTGCCATTTCTATATATCATAGCAATGAAGAGCTTGCAGAGCAACTCTGCACAAATATACGCAAGGCCGTGCAGCAGTATCGAGAGATAAATAAAGCGCTACCTATGTATCTTATCATTTACCGAGATGGTGTCAGTGATGGTCAAGTACAAGAAGTTTATACACACGAAGTAGAAAACCTGAAAAAACATCTTGAAAAGATATATTATGGTCCAAATTTCAAGATGATATATGTACTTGTATCTAAGAAAATTTCCATTCGGTTCTTCAATAGAAGAGAAAATCCTCCGGTCGGTACAGTCGTTGATGATGTTGTTACCAATCCGCTTAAATATGATTTCTATCTTGTGTCGCAACAAGTTAGACAAGGTACTATTTCGCCCACCGCTTATAACGTTATTTCCGATAATACTGGATTACAGCCTGACGTCATACAAACAATAACTTTCAAATTGTGTCATCTGTATTACAACTGTACAAGTACTGTCCGCGTACCGGCTGTTTGTCATTATGCAAAAAAATTTGCTACTTTAATAGGTAGGTTCATTCATCAGCCCCCTAACTCACAGCTAGAACATTATTTGTTTTATTTGTAATAAAACTAAGGCTATTTCATTGTTACGTCTTTTCCGCACGACAAAAATTTAATTAAGTATTGCATAAAGAATTCTGAACCAATCAAATTTTTTTTTTAAATGTCTCCCAAAAATGCAAGATTAACTTGTAGATGGCATAGCCGAATAGTGTTGTACGCGGCTAATACAATTGCTGATACATAAGACCAACGACATTTGGCAACACATAACATTATAAGTCTTATTCAACACAATCGGTCAATTCCGAATGAAATAATTAGCCGATTAAATTAAGCAAAGATATGATAGGAATAACCATAAAATATAACAATTCATCTTTCTTTAACACAAACAGATATACTTTTATCTTTATATACTTGTTATATATTGTCAAGCAAGATTTTACTGTGAAGTTTCTAACTATGTAAAATCAATCCAATAAGTATAACTAATGTTCGAGTTAGTAAAAAAATGTATTTTACGTATATTTTGTGATCTGGTCAAGCTCTTGCTCTCTAGTAGATATATATTTACATATATTCACAATTTTCTTTTGCATATACACGACGCACAATTAATGAATAAGTCACGTACGTGTTGTGCGTGTATATATGCATTATAAGTTTTCTAAATGACCAATCAATATTCACACATTATTTTTTTGTTTAACTACTGATACTGCCTACAATTTTATATTCTCTATTTTTGTATTACCAAAGACTTGTTTTTATATCTATTTTTAATGTTCTGTATGTTACACAGTTGACAAATGAAATTTAGATTGAAATAATTTTATTTTTATTATTATTTTCTTAATTGCTTATGCTAATATTGTTTTAGAATAATTAGAGTACTACTTATTCATTTTATTCATATAGATTCTTGTATCATATGTTTACTTAAACAGACTTTGGTGATACTATGAAACAGTATTATATGATGATACAAATCTTAAAAGAGCTTCTGATAGACTGATAATTTTATAATAGATTGTATCTCTCTAATATAGAAAATAAGGTACTTAAATAAGTTTTTTAGTTTTTTATCTTTCAAAGTTATTTTTTTCGGTATAATATATATATAAATTTGAGAGTGAGAAGAGAAAGAAATAAAAACACAAACATAACTTACAATGTTTCTATTTTGTGACTTTTAACTGTACCTACATTGCAGATACAGCACACGTATACGTTACAATTCTTTGCGCAGAAAAAATATTCTATAATTGCGAATATAACAAATATAATGAATATAATTGTTGTTATAATTACAAAAGAACAGATCAGATCTTTTTTGTAAGTGCATTAAACACATTGTTTAGTAATTAAACTCTCAGTATCTTTACTTGCTTTTATAGATTTCTGGTTTTCTTTTAAAATGTACTGTGTACTAATACATTAATATGTTTACTTTGCAAAAAAAAAAGAGACATGTAAGACTAAAATCTTTAAGAATAAAGACTTGGTATTTTTTCATTACAGTCATATACTTCACAAGTTGAAACATAATAATAATTTGTTCTTCAACTTCTGTCTATAGTTTAAGTTAAGATTTTTTGACTTTTTGAATATGCTGCGTATAAGGGTCTATCTACATAAGATATAGACACGGGTCGCAGATCTCATGGAAGTGATTAATTGTGTTGATCAAATCAGCCAATCAACGTGATTATACCTATATTATATGTAATAAATAATTTATATAAGTAAATGATTGTATACATAGATATAATCATTTTTTATATATAGAAGTTTGAAAACTTGTATCGTTAAAGGTTATTTCTTTCGAATCATATACTCACGTTGCCATAACTCATAAATGTTTTAATAGTATATTTTTTTTATTTTGTTTCAATTTTTCTTTTAATATACACGTTTAATTGCATAAATATATTATACTTAAATGTGCATCTATAAAGGTAGAAAAGAAACTTATTACATTTTATAAGATGGTTTTTTATAAAATTTTGTATAAAAAATTTATCTCGTAAAGTATTCTAACATGTGTAATATATAAAGAAGAATGCTCTAGAGATGATCTTTTATACACATTTATATATTATAATAAATATATAAACAATTTTTAAATTTGTTTACTTTTAAAAATGTATAGGTATGTTACAACTAAATTTAAAACTATAATAAATATCAAATTAAAAATACAAGTATTTTATTCGCATCATGAAACATAGGAACTGAATAGCGCACAATAATTTAAATAATAAAATCTGTAAAAATCACACTAAGCCGCTTCACGTTACAAAAAGCTATTCTGTTTTTTAATATATGTATAGTATTACTATACCATACAAATTTTATTAAGCATAGAGTTTATAGTATCAGCACGTTATCAGCTATATAAATTTATCTAAACTTCCAAGTGAATACAATTAATAACGATAGTATAATTTTTTGGTCAGAGAAAACATGCTGTTTAAACAAATACAGTTATCATTTCGAGCGTAGATGTTCTTCTTCATCATCACTATAATCATCACTTAAATACTGATTATTTTGCGAAAACTCGTAGCGTCCTGTTTTCTTTGGCGGTGGACTGTGACATAAGATAAAATAATTTAAAATGAAGACAGAACTATTAAAACGTATATATATAGGATGTCCCACCTAACTTGAGCATTCTAAATATCTCGCTCATTTTTATGATAGGAGGATGCCGAAAAGGATCATTATTCAGTTCGAAGAGACAAATACTGTAATAAACAAGAACTTTTCAGATTCGCCTTGACCTTGTTTATCATATCGCGAAGATAAAAATATGTACTTTCAGATAAAAAATGACAATGACCTTGAAATCTTAAAAAATATGACCTTGAAAAAATTTCTTGTTTATTACAGTATTTGCCTCCTCGAACTGAATAATGACCCTTTTCGGCATTCTCCTATCATAAAAAATAAGCTAGATATTTAGAATGCTCAAGTTAGGTGAGACACCCTGTATATTGCCTTATTATTCTCAATTTCGAGTGTAAAAAATAATGTAGTCACAGAAATACATTCTGATTTTTGTTTACCTTGTCTGATCTTCATCATTATGGCTGCTGTTACTACTACTGTTTGGACTACCATCTCTTTTCGGACTTGCTGGTGGAGATAACGCTTGCATCAAACGGCCTTTACTTTCATTCCAAATTGTAGACTAAAAATATAAAAAGACAACATTCAATATGTTATATTTCTATATTTTTATATACTTATATAAGAAAAAAGTTGTATAACAGTTATGTACCAATCTGCCTTCTCTTCCGAACAATAAAAGGAAAGCGTCAATGAAATCCCGAGATTTCTCTTCCCATTTACTGATCATATCCATTCGTTTTTCACCAATATTTTCCATTACACGTTTTCCTTTATCTTTTAGATCATCGAACTTATTCTGCAGACGGAACTTTTTTTCCTGTACAATTGTTCTTATTGTTGAATCATCTTTTACATCTTTTTAAATGATTATAATATTACGTTTATATATAATCTAAAGCACTATGTTAAGAATAAACTTACATTAAGAAAAGAAACGTTGAGCTCTTTTGCACTATACCCTCGTGCAAGATTTCTTCTAACATATATATCGTAATCTTTTACTATTCTCGCCACTATGTCTGAAGTAGAAACTCCTTCTGTTCTTTGCGTAGCTACAAACATACCTTTAGCTTTTAACTTGGCATAAACATCTGATCCATCATCTGTCATATATGGTATATCATCGTGAGCAACAAAGTCAATCTACAACATTAACAGATATTTACATTTCTACTTGTGCAAAAGAAGTTTCGGTTTATTTTGGAAATTTAAAAATGTAAAAACATATATAAACACCTTGTGCTTTTCAATGAATTCATCATGAAGTTCCCAAGGTGCATCTCGCACTACTTCATCTACGTATCTGCAATGTCTGACTGCATCATATCTCTCTAGATCAGTCATTACAGTTCTTCCTTTTTTACTATGTGTCAATTCATCGTTACACACTATGAGACAAAATTAGAAATAATAAATATACACACACGATTTTTAACATCTATATAGAATAAATTTTTTTACAGTAATATTTGTGATAAATACCACCAACAATAAGATAAACATTTGTAAAAATGTTCTTAGCTTGTAGCAGTTGCCTTGCATGGCCTTGATGGAAAAGATCATAAATACCATCAGCGTAGACTCTAATTTTTCTAGGAGCTAGAAAAAAAAAATTAAATAATATACATGTATATATTTTGAAAAATAAATATCTATCTTAAAGCAATTATTTTTTGTCTTTCTATGATAAGTTTTAAGTCTTTTTTAAGATATACCTTTACCAGCTCTTGCTTGTTTTAAAGTAATTTTTATATTATAATCACAAGCATTTCTCTCTGCAATTGCATCTGGATCATCGCTGAAAGGTGCTTCTTTACAGATAGACTAAAACAACAATATAAAAATATATTTAAGTTACTAATATATATTAATTGTTATACTTAATAATGTAACTTATATTTTCTAGTTTTAGTTTGTTCATACATTATTGTATATAAATATAAAACAAATATTAATAATATTGCAAAACATTATTTTCTGTTGTGTTTAACTATGCACCTTTTACTTTGTAAAATAATTATAACAAAATATTTTATAGAATTGAAATGCTTACAGGATAAATTGGAAAATCTTCCCTAGAGCAGGATGCACTTTCTCCATTAAAATTATTCTGATAAGATACAGTATTCAGCATAGTGTCTTCTCTAGGACGCTTCCTTGACATTTTCTTATTGCAGAATTGTTGCCATGCAGCTTTGGTTCAACTATAAATGTAGAAAACTACTGCAGTTAAATATTATTACAATATAATTTTAAATTCTAAAGGAAAAATATATAAAATGCATTTCTATTGTGAAATATATAGAACACATTCTATTGATTAAAACATATAAAAGTATACTTTTGTTACAATATTTTTAACCATCACAATATACATTTTATAAACATATAACCTAATAAAACATCATTGTATATCTTACACACATGTTTGTCAAACAAAATTAATTTTTGTAATATATAACAGGTTAGTGTGATAATCACAATTAAATGATTATGGATAAATAGCAAACGCGACATAATCCGTGGCATTTTTTTTGAAATGGAAGTTTAATGAGCAAGCAAGAAAACTCAGGATCGAGATCTTCGACCTACGGTGTACCTCCGGTCGACGACGATGTCATGTAAGACCGCGCCTGCGAGCCGCGTGGCACGCACGTTCGGGAAAAAAAAAGAAAAAAGACGGGAAGGAAGAGAGAGAGAGAGAGAGAGAGAGAAAGACCGCATTACAGTGAAGACTATAAAAACAAACGACATTTTTTTATTGATAGGTACATGCAGGAAATAATGCGTCACAATGTGTTGCAAGCTAAAATTTTATCAAGCCACTTACAGCTATCGAATCGTAAATCCTGATATTCCTGGTCGATGATAAAATATAACACATTAGTATGAGATCGAGCGGAAAGAAACCTGCTATCGTATTGTGCGATTTTGCGTCCAAAATCACGCTAATATAATAGATAATAGTGTAACAGAGAGCGAGAAAAAAAACAAGATTGTTGAAACCGACAAGTTCCACGATACAACGTTGTTATTGCAGCAGGACACTTTACATGTTAATACAGATTTACTTATCAAAAAAATCGAGATATTTTAACTACTCCGACTTCCTCCGACTAGTCTCTGACAATGACTAATTAACACTGGTGCGTCTCACAGCTGACGTTTACCACTACCACTTGCACGTTCTCGCGCAGTCACCAAAAGGAACCAATCGTCGTGCTAAATAAAGAGTACTATATATTGGTATTCTTTTTTATACGAAACGTGTGATTGGCCACGCGTCAGGACGAATTATATTTATCTATTGTTTGCAGCTGAGAACAAATCAGAAGACAACTGCTCTGAAAGGATTGGTCGAACACCTACTTAACGGGTCAATCTTATCGCTTTTTTCTATTTTGTTGCTTGCTTTTTAAACTGAAAATGTTATACATATAAAAAAAAAAAAAAAAAACTAAAAAATGTACGTTGATTTGATACAATATTTCTAATACATCTACTGCACTGTTGAATGTGCAACAATGTGCATCTTTAAATTTTTAATTATAAATTTTAAATTTGTAATCTGCTTAAATTTTAACCAAGAAAAGGAAATTGTATTTGTTCTGTATTCCTAAATAGATCCACTATTCCGCATAATGATACCAAATGTTCTGTCACTAGGAAATAAATTGTAAACTATATGTATATATACTTACTCCTGTTTGTCAAAAAATCACAAAAATTCTCAAAATCTATAGTAAAAACATATTCGATTTAGATAAGCGAAGTAATATTGTTTTATATGATTACTCGCGTATGAGTTTCTTCCCCAAATATATATATATATATATATATATATATATATATATATATATATATATGACTTGTGAATTTATCAAACTCAAGAATTCTATAGTACATCTGGCATTTGACTCGTACTATTATAAATTTCAGAGATAAAATTATAAATGTAAATTACCATGTAACTGAGGTGACCGCACGTGCAAGACCGCACTCCTTGATCAATGTGCCGAGAGTACTGTTGTGGGCGGGGATATGGCTAAATTTCAAAATAATCACTACACTATGAAAGATTAAAACACCGCAGAAATTCTTAATCTATTTCAAGAATGGAATAAAACGTGTTGCCAGTAGTTTTCGAAGTTTATTATCAGTGCCGTCGCGGTTCTTTTCCACAATGATATAAGTGAATTGCCGTGAGTGCAATGAAAACATACGGTACGGTAGTCGCGACTGAAATCGTGGTAGAACGAGAAGCTAACGATGACGTAACATCGGATGATCGCCGGCGTCATGTAGGTATGCGTCCGACATGACACATTATCGGACACACAAGTGTACGTGTACATATACTCATACGAGAAAATATAATATAGCATGACTCATAAAAACACAATCGAGTGATTACAAAGCTGAGATTTATTTGTGAATTAATAATATAACTTTAAAATAATCTCTATAATTATATAAGAATTATGTATAAATTTTTTTTTACACTGATTGTGTGTGTAATTTTTATTCAGCTTACTGTCACAAATGTGTTGCATGAAAAACTCAAGAGTGATTTTCGTATGTCTTGAAAATTACATGCTAATTGCACGTGTGCAATTGTAAAAGATTATGATGTTTATTATCTGCAAAACAGTTATCGAGGCAGTGTCTGCTGAATATCAAGAATACATACAATCGAGCAATTCAACTTTTTATACACCTGTTTGTCGTTTATATATTCTGACAACGTATGTACAAATGCAAATGTTTATTTGTTACTTTTACTTCTCTCTAGATTTATACTTAAAAAAAAAATCATTATTCAAAGAATTTGTGTTAAAAGTAGCTGCGGATATTTTATACAGATAAATTTTCTTTCCATAAAACGGTTTTTTTAATAGTCGTAGATATTAGATCATGTAGCGTAAAATAAATTAGTAATAAGGGGATTGTTGAAACAAGTTGTTTTACTCAGTTCTCTTTGTTTAATATTGATGTTTTTTTCTATCGCGTGTTAACATCAATCGAAGGAAACGTAATGCGCGTAGCATCAATTAGTTTTATTGTTAATTTACCTAAGCTTCTACATGTCATTTTTTATTTGCTTTTTTAATTTTCTAGCAATATTAAATTAGTTGCATATGTTTGAAAAAGTTACAGCTAAAAAAATAAAACTCAATGTATATAAAGTAACTGTAAAATTACAAGAAAAATTGTAATCACTATTTAATTCACACATGTTTTTGCTTTCCTATGCAAAACATTTATTAGATCTTATGTTACAGCTTTATAATGATCATTAAACTAAGACGATATTCACAATCGGATCTTAATTTAAGATCGTCTTATTTATGTTTGTATGCTTTATATGCATATGAACATACACAAATTAGACGGTCTTATTTTTTTCAATAAACAACTATGAATATCACCTCCAAAGGTATTTTAAAGCTTCATTACGTTTCATTCAAAAGGCATTCGTATACCTCAATATTACATTATTGCGATATTATAATTAAATAACATCTACGGGATATCTAAGTTTAATAATAAAAATATCTATTATAAATCACAATGATTTTCGCTTCATGGCTACACTGGATAGAATTTCGCTTCTTGGCTACGAAATTCTAGTCTATTTTATGTTGACTTTATTTTGACAAAACAAAAAAAATATCTTGAGAATATAGATACAATGTAGGAAAAACCTATTCTATAATGATAAAATCATAATTGATTATGTTTATATAAAAAAGTTGTATTTTGCATTTGTGAACCTTACAGTTCGCTGTTTCGAGTAATTTAACATCGTTCGGCTTTCAATGGCGGAAAATATTTTTTAATTAAACATAATATTTGTGAATTTTTTAATTGATTGATCGTGCAAAAAATGTATAAACATTATGTCTAAATAAATATTAAGTTTAAAATAGTTTAAGAATTTGTTTTATATACTAATTTCCCCAAGAAATTTGTGTCATACTGAGTTCATTCAATTTTATAAAATGTCTTTTGAGTTAAGTCAGCGACACAGTGCATTTTTATCTATTAGATCGCTTGCATACTGGTTATCTTGCTAAAACTTGTGTTCTACTGGCTACGCTGCTGGATTTCCGTGATTAATCAGAAGCTGTTCAAGAATCGAGTCGAGTCACAACTGTTCAACCAACATGAAAATCCATACTTTGTGAGGCCAAGCTAGCAACACAACCAACACTTGCAACACTTTCTGCACTGTTGTGCACTACACGGTAGCAAGCGAGCAAATCTTAGCAATCTACAGAAACGCACTGTGTGCCGCTGGCTTTAATCTCATTTATCGCAGCATTGTAAATTAGGTAATAAACAAATTTTCAACATTCCCTGATAACAAAAAACTGTGAGAATCTGATAAGAAAGTATATATACTCAACAAATACGTAGGAAATAATATATGAAACACTTAAAATATATACTTGCTTACGTTTGATAGGTATAATCTAACTACCTAGAATTTCTGTGATTTCCTCAGAAGATTGATTAACGCGATGGTATTTATTATATTCTTTTTTAAATTTATATTACGATAGAGCACGTACAGAAGTTCAACTTAACGCGCTCAGTGCCTCGTGTAGTGCATGTTGCTGCTCCGCTGTCAATTGCATTATAGTTGCTTGAAACATAGTCTCATTATTCTGAAAAAGATAATATCTATTGTTAGAAAACATCATAAATATAAATGAGAACTTTAATCAAACTTTTTATCGTATTTTGATCCACCTGTATTTCTCTAACGATACTAATCATTCTAGACATGACAGGATTGTCAGTAGGCACAGCTTTTCTAAGTAGCGCTTCGGCGAAAAAGCTTATGAGTCGGGGCAAATGCGCATTATTTCTTCCTAATATCACTGCGTGGTTTGCTTCAATCAAATCACACAGATATCCGTAAACATGAGGGGCTTCATCTTCATCTTCGGTAACTGGTAGCCAAGTTAACCTGCACAAAAAGTTTATTAAATGTTAATTCATGCTTTTTTTTAAACACAACAAAGAGGACTTACTAATGTGGACTTAGAACTCACCAATGTGGAAGAATTTCATCAACATTGATTGCTTTATTATTATACTTAAGAATTTTTGTTACTGCTGAGATAGCATTTTCAGTGGAATTTATGTTCCCTGCCGATCTAGATTCAGGATCATTAATAACTTCTATTAGTTTCGGTATGGCTTCCGCACATGCTTGTGCAAAACCCTCTCCACCAAACTGGCCTAAAACTCCACAGCCATAAGCTGCCGCTTGTCTAACTTCGGGAGATTTATCAGTAACGTATTGAATCATCGGTCGTAGGAAAAGTTCCTGATATTTCGCACAGTCAGGTCCTCCAAATTCTATTATGTCATCAAAAACACACAAAGCCCATTGATGATCCGCCCAGGGTCTTTCGGGACTGAGTAATTTTACAAAATGTCCGCAAATCTGATCGAAATAAGGAAAAAACGAAGTCTTGTAAGTCGCAAACAATGCGTGTAAAATATCAGCAATTTTGCTGAGGGTAAATACATCCTCGTTGTCTTCGTCAGCAAGTTGTTCTTCAACGACCTGTAATCCAATAAATGTAAATATATAAAAAATATATAAAGCAAAACTGTGAAGAATTTACAGTCGAGTAATTACCTCGTCATAGTCTTCGTCCTTTCGTTTTTCCAGTCTAGCAACGGCTCTCTCAAAGTGATCATTAAGTAATTTATCCAAAAGTCGTAAGAGTTCAGTCATATGCGGTACACTCAAACAACCAGCACCCAGTGTTTCGATACATTTTGCTAACGAGGCCAAAAGTTCTACCAGTACTTCACACTCTGGCTCTGTATCAATAGCTTTCAATAAATCTGGGCAGATATAAGCCCACATACCTTCTAAATACTGCGAACCTAAATATTTAACACGTACATATTAACATAGAATTTTATAACATTTTATACAAATTACTATTTATATAATAACCTTTTATTTTAGCGCAGTCCAAAAGATACGGTAAGCTTGCCGCGGCAGCAATTCTAACACCATCGTGGAAATAAAACTTTAACATCGGAACCATTAATCGAACTACTTCTTCGGCGTAATCCGCAAAGCCTTCTTTCAATTCTCGCGCATAACAAACCAACATTTCGCACGCAGAAGCTTTATCTTCTAAACCTGCTGTTTTAATTCCGAAATTTTGTTGTTCTCCTAGTGAAACAAACTGCCAATCAAGATCACCTTCAATGCCTTCCATGTCGTCATTATCCAGTAATGCAACTTCCGGCTTCATAGCAGCTGTTCGTAATACAGGTCCCATCACCAACGGTAGATACTGCTCAAATTGTTTTCCTGTAGAGAGACAAAAATACAGAGAAAATAAAATTATACATTTCAGAAAGAAATCCTGTATTTCGGAAACTGCAATTATTAAAACAACTTTTTGTATGTTTAGAATCCGTTTCGTCTTACCAAGAATCTTACAAATTCTTGCCCAAGCAGATATAAGATAACTGGTTTGCGGATCATCATCCGGAAGATCACCTTCTGAATGAGTTTTCAGTAACATATCCATAACATCGCTAGCATCGGCAATAAACTGTTAAAATTTGAATAATTTTAAATGGCAATAAAACTTATCTTTAAAAAAAACAAATCAAAATTTATCAATTACTTTTTCTGGACCAACAGCTAGACCTATAAGACTGACACATTCGATGGTTTTGCCTCGTAACATTTTGTGTTCTTGTTGATTCGCATTTTTAATAATGTACTTTAAACAAGGCATTAATCTATCATAGTAAGTTACGAATTGTTCTTCACAAGTATCAGCAACTGAAGCGATTGTTGTGACAACCTGTATGAAGACAGATTCATATAGCGCAAAATACATGTAGATTTTATATTTAAATTCTATTTTTTTTAGAATTAGAGTTTATATATTTTACGATTAATTATAATTTAACATACTTGTTCAATTACGAGCTTAGTTCCTTTTTCTACCAATTCTTGAAACTTAGCAGTTAATATAGATTCAAGTTTGCCCATTATGGCATCGAGATATGGCGTCAGAATATGTTTCGGACATTCTTCACTGAAATTGACAAGAGCAGCACCGGCATGCGCTTGAACTCTAGGATTTTCGTTATCATCCAACACCATTAATAATCCAGGAATAACTTTATCATGAAATTTCTTCTCAAATATAGGCGAAAAATCCGTTGACATTTGTCCTACAGCATTGCAAGCGGCGTATCTTACACGAGGATGCTAAAAAAAAAAAAGAAAAAAGAAAAAAAGAAAAAGAAAAATAAGAGTATATTTGTTCTGATCTCCGATTTGTTCTGAGAAAATTTTATATTTCAAAATTATAGCTGATATTCATAATCGAATCTTATATTTAAGGTCGTTTTAAAGTATGTCTTAAATACTTACTGGATCTTGAAGATACTGTATAACACCATCCATTATTTGTGGTAAAAGATCTTGCATTTGTTTATGGCACCCTTCACCAACAGCTGATATAGCCATGAGTGCTGCATGTCTAAATAAAAAAACGTATGTATATTTTTTAAATTCTCTATCACTTTTATGCAAAACTTATTTCTATGTAAAAGAAAAAAAGAAAAATTACTTATAAACATCGAAAAAACTGTATGTTTTAAAACTATAGCAATTATACAGAATAATTGCCAACTCTCTTTTAAACATCCAACAAGAATCTCAAGTTCCAACTGCTAATACAGCAATGAAAAAGAGTTATCTTGATGGTTTACTCTATCACAGAAGTAACGCAATTACTTACATAAGAGTATGTAACTGCTGACTTTTCTGTGACACTGTTAATTATATGTATTTATATGTCATATATGTACAATTATATGTTAAACATCATATATATAATATAGTATAACAACATATATACCTGTATTTCCAATCACTGTTATTTAACATAGAAGGTATATTTTGCACAATTTGTGGGAGCATAGTTTTACCTCCCAAACCACATGCTAATCTATCTAAAGCACTTTCAGCAACTACATTATTACTATCGTTATCTTCTTCAATAATTTCATCAGAAAAACTCCATTTTTCGTCTTCTTCTAGATCAGTCATCATCTTCAGTACCAATGGCACTAACGATGAGATATATTTTCCACCAATTTTTCGTACCATCGCTGGTGCGGTTTCTGCCAAAGTTACCAAAACTTCAAGCGCTAATTGCCTCCAGGAATCAGACATATCTTCATCAGAAAATACAGTCATGCACATTTGCATTATATTATCTAATTGTCCCCTGAGGAATTTTGGTGTAGTTTCAGCGAGATCTATTAATACTTTTAAAAGAGCATCATCGTCCTGCTTTTCTATAGACAACGCAGTTACTTGTACAAGCGCTGGAAGTAGCTCAACAAAATGTTTGTGTATATTTTCTTCTTTGTCGTGTAATGCTATGAATGCTCCAATAGCTCTTACTGCTTGAAATCTGACCTATGAAACAATCGCAACTTTATTAGTTTCTCTCTCTTTTCGAAATAAAAAAAAAAAAAATTAGTAATTTGAAAAATATATTTAATTAAGAAGTTATTAATACAAAAATTACAACTAAACTTTTGTATGCCCCGTATCTGTCTGTAAATTAGTACTTTACAAGTTACAGTCATCAGAAAGCATATTTTATAGTTTTGGAAGAATTATGTGACGAGCAATTTAATCTTGTCATAACTCGTGTATCTGTCTTCCAGTAGACTTACTAAAAAAACAAATTTATAAAAACTGTATATTACCTCATAATTTGCCATATCTAGAACGGATTGTTGTAACATTTGTTTTATTAGATCGAGATAATTTGCTTGTTGATTTCCGAATACACCTGGGACGGATCTATGTAAATAAATTTTACATTCATTTATTTTTACTTCGTTTCCTAGCAAATGGTATTTCAAATGAATTAAAATTAAAAGGATCTTACGTGAACATACGAAGCGAACTTTCTTTCAATGCTGGTACTGGACTATTCGCACACTGAAATAGGAACTGCAGAAATTCTGGCCATTGATTGTTGCCCTCTTCATCTATTAGATTCCTAGCAACTTCAGCCACAACTTCACAAATTTTGCGTCTTATAGTTTCTGACTGTTCATTTTGGACTGACAATAAAAGTTGTTCCTTTAACTGAACTTGAGCTTCTGGTGGAATCTGAAATATGTATCAAATCTATTTTAAACTGACCTTTGACTTAAGATATCAAATAGAATATGTGATAAAAAGATATAAAAAGTTCCAAAAAATATAAATAACAACAATGTATATTGCAAAAAAAAACGTGTTTATTCTCATATAAAAATAAAAAAAATCTTAATAACCACCTTAGGATAAAAATCCATAAATTCTGAAGAAAATAGGCGACGCAGTAGTACTGCTGCCATTGTCCGTACTTCTTCTGCAAGTGAGCCATTGCAAATAGTACTTAAAAGGTATGTCACCTTACTTTCCATTGGAAGATTATTATATGCATCCTAAATAATCCCAAAAAGTAAAAAGTTATTTTTTAGTTTTTTATTATGATAAGAAGTATTTTTATAAAGTATAACAATATTAATAGTAATTTAATATCTATAATTAGATAAGTCTTTGTCCGTTATTACATGTAAATAAAAACTAAAAAAAAAAAACAAAAAAAAAATTTATATGTAAATATAACATTATATAGATACTAAACTCAATAAAAAAAAAATTTAATCAAAATTAATTTTATTTTACACAACAAAATGAAACTTATTTCGCAGTGCGTATTTGTAACCAGCACACGTGAATATTCGGCGAATTACGTTCGACACGTGATCGGACCGTGAGTCAAGGTAAAAGGCAAAACGTATATGTGTGTATATGTATATGTATGTACATATTTATATATACGTGTATATAACACACATTAGTACAGCAAGTAAAAACGAGAAAAAATTATAAGCTGTTTGAATCAAAGTGTACTCTAATTGCACAATCGTCAAATATGTAAACGAATAAGGGCAACACGTGTGCGGTCAGTTTTACAGCGATCGCCAGAAATCGAGCAAAGTACCCAGCGTAGGCGGGAAAACTGGATGCGTCCCTTGGCGAAGCATACAGCGAGCCGTGTTACGCAAAGCGCAAGACGCACGCGCGTGTAACAATATTTTTCACCCAGGACACGACATGCATATCTCGTTGAACCCGAGTCTCGTTATCTAAATTCATCCGAGAAATTCGCGAGTTGCGCGCAAATAATGGCCTCAGCACGCGCGGTGTCCGCATGCAAGACACCATTTTGGATTTTTTTTCTTGGTCTTCTCACGCGAGCAGTCGTCACATGCGATTGAATTTTGCTGAATTGCCTCGCGACATTCGTTTTCATCGATTATCGTAAACAACTAGTTTTCAGCCGATCAAGAGGATGCGCACGCGGGCTGCCGGCGTAACATCCACCACATGCGAGGTCTTGACAACACGTCGGCAACGTGGTCCGAATGTGATTGCGACATGTTGCAAAAATTCGCGGTCTCACATGCAGATTGCATTTGTACGGGCGTAACGACAAACGGATTATACATACCTCCGCTTGAGTTCGAACATCATTATCTGTGCTGAGGAGTGTATTCAAAAGCTGTTGAAACTGAACGAGATCCACCGCCATTGTCGCCAAACGAATAAAGCACTGAATCAACGCGCACTGACTCGAGCGATCGTCGTCTGATCAAGTGCCGCCATCTGTCGCGGAATGAATGGCCGCGTTCAGCAGAACAATTGCTGAATTGTCGTCTTGTCAACGCAAGACGCTGATTGAATGATTCTAAGAGTAAGAACCAATCACGTGCGATTGCTACAAAGCAGCTTGTTCTCCAGAACACAGCAATGGTTGGGTTCAGCAGAATCAAAAAGAAGAATGAGAGCGGCCAGGTCCATAAGAGTTTTTACGATCGTTTTTCCGTCCCGTAAGCTAGCGCAAGTCCACGGGTGGTGCACATTGGCAACTACGTAGCGGTGTCTAGGAGCGACTTGTCGATACGTACGCCATGTCCAAACGTGGAAATGGTTCTATTCCGTGCTATGTGCGATGCACATGATTCTAGTACAATTGCATCCTAGCATTCCTAGCCACTAAGACCTGGTTTATGCGGGCCTAAGATTTTAATATTTCTGTTTATTAACAGAAGCATAACAGAATATAACAGAAGCATTGAAATCCTATAGTTGAACTGTACCAATTCCGGCATAAATTAACAGTTATTACCCGCATAAACAAGGCCAAAACAAGGCCTTATTTGCCCGCATAAACCAGGTCTAAAGGCCATCACACATAAAATTACTTAAAACCGTAAGGCGTAGCCGTACGAAAATTGACCAATCAGAATGTATACTATGTCGCCATCACTTTCGGACGTAAATTTCCTATTGGTCAATTTCCTTACGGCTACGTCTTACGATCTTAAGTAATTTTATGTGTAATGACCTTAAAGTCACGTGTCTTTAAAAACGTGACTTAAAAAGGAGAGATGTACCGACAGAGAGACACATACGTCTATCTTAGTGTCGGCGCAACTAGAGGGTGTTATCTTTCGGACAGTAGCGGCTGGGCGGCCAAATCAAACTGATCGTGTTGTTGTGAGTACAGTAAATACCGTAAAGATGTTTTGGACCGCCGCAACATGTGTTAATATTTAGATACACGCAAGTGTAGTAATAGCTATTTAATTTGTAAAAATGCAAAATCATAGATAAAAACCCGCATAGATTTGTATCTCTCACATGCGGAAATGCAAAACATTTCGTTGTAACATCTGTCGTTATATGTGGTAATTTCGTTTTTACACGCGTGACGTTCGCTGTTAGCCGCGATCAGTTGATTTATCACGAAAGATATTACAGAATAAACATTTCAACACGTGTGTGTACAAGCGTATATTTGTACATCAAATGCGTTTTTATTCTATCTTTTATGTGTACCGCGCAAAAATCAACAAATTTCTAATTCAAGTAATTTTGAAAAACTTTGTTACGTTATATACATAAGCACAATATAACGCACTGAAATTGGGGTCTTGTATCGTTCAATATGAAATCTTGTAGACACAATGGAAAAAAATAATGAAAGAATTCGTAAAACTGTGACATTTAGTGTGACATGTTTCTCCACAGGTGCGATGGAAATTCAACTTGTAAAATTTCGACATACGGATTTGAATATAACAATCATATATGTGCAATTTGTATGAAAAATGTCTTGTATAAATTGAACAATAATATTTGTGCGCAACGATTACAATAAGTGTAGATATCACCGTAGCAATATTGAAAAAATGTTACATTATTTTTGCCAAGTCTGTCAATTTTACATTATCCGTTCGCGCTTTGAATAGGGAAACAAAAAATGTTTCACTTTTCCTCGCAGCAAGTTGAAATTTAATTTCAGCAGCTTAAGAAGGTAAATTTGAGGATTAAAGACTAAGATACAGGAAGAATATGATTACGCAGAAGCGCTCGAACACCATCCACTCATTTGCAACGTGCCACATCGCACTATGGCAGTCTATAGGAGAATGATAGATGAGCTAACTATGCTGCAAAGCGAGCTTCAGCTTTTTGCTTATATAATCTCAGACAAGGATTTTCGACGTGGTGCCGTGGTCCGCCGAGTATGCGATAATGGCATTCGCGCGCGCGCGCGCGATTAATGCGTTATTACGCGCACCACCGACACCGTCGTCCTTATCGTCGTCACGCCGCTGTTATCATTGTCCTGTTTAGCTTTAACTATTCGTCGCGCCCTACAAGCTAAAGATGAGGTAGCTGCGCGCATCAAGGGAGGTTTTGTCAGTCAATCTTAAGCCGATTCTCAGTGAGTTATCTTTATAAATGTTCAAAGAACCGTCAAGCGCGTTAATATGTGCAATATAGAGATCAAACATGTAAAGCATAATCAATTAAAGTCGACTGTTTTACATTCAAAGTTGACGATGTATCCATCGATGTGAAAGCTCGATTATTTGTGTCCTTCTATATGTTGTAGATTCTCTTGGACGGTTTGCGGCCCAAGACTCTTGTCCAGGACGCACTCGTTTTGATTCAGTCGCTTGGCGAGTGCGCGCAAATTTCTTTTTGCAAGATTGTACTTTTCCAAACCACTGTTTAACGCGCTTTCAACGTTATTTTTGAATCTTTCGTCCAATACCGCGATGTAATCATTCATCCGCGTCAATGCGTCCTGCAACCGACTCTGCAATCCTGTGTTTGTCTCTTTCAATCTTTCGTTGGCACATCGTAGATCGTTCGCTTTGAGTCGAAGATTGAAGTTCGACTTCCTCGAAGCGGCGAGCTCATCTTTTAAGGCCGTCCTCTCGGATTTCAGTTCATTCAATTCTTCCTTCAACATCTCGAATCGTGACCTCAGCGCCGCCTTCTCGGTTCTCAGATTCATCAGCTCGAGTTTCAAAGCCTGAATCTCGTCCGTCGCTGTACGAAGGTCGATCTTAGTTTTCTCGCTATCCGTCCGACTGGAATCGAGACTGCCACGCAGAATACCTACTTCCAGCTTCAGCGTCTTATTCTCGGCCACGAGCCGATCGATATCGACTATCGTGGAATAATCTGTTTTATCTTTGTATGTCATTGGAAAATCATCGGGATAATCGCTCATCTTTTTCTCGTGATCGATATTTACGATCGGAAATGTTCTCAAGCGCGGATCGATGATTTCTTCGTTATTAGGTCTATTCGTCGAAACCAGCGGCGAATTCTCCGATCTGTCTTTTGTGCGAGCAAGTTCCATCGTAATCCCGGAGTTTTCGAACCTCAAATTCGCTCGCTTTAGTTTCAAAGCCTTATTGTTGGCTTCCGAGCTCTTTAGTTCAGCCTTCGGCGTGTCTTTGATCTTCGCTTTGTTATCACGGCCGGCACATGTATCAGATTCTACTTTGAGTACTGTTTCGCCGTCCCGCCGCTCCTTGCCAATTTCGACCTTTACGTTCGTACGCGTGGCATCCGAACAATCCTGCTTGTATGTAATCTCGTTACAAACGTCCGCGAATCCGCGCACGTCCTTCTCAGGTTGGTCTCGCACATAGATCTTCCTTAAGTGATTTCTGCATTGATCGTTATTTTCGCCGTAAGACGCGCGCTTGGCGTTCTGGGTTCCCAGCTGATCGACACCAAACATTCTGCCGACGCTCGCGTCGTCTCTCTCCGGATTCATTTCGCACTTTCTCTCGTCGCAGATAACTCGAAGAAGAGCGTTTTGCGCTCTCGCTTCGTCATTATCGACTCTTGATTTATTCAATTCCATGGAAAGATATTCATTTTCCGCTCTCGCTTTATTCAACCGCTCCTGCAGAGCGACGTTCTCATCATCGAGCACATTAATACGCGTCGCCAGCTCGTTCTTTTCAGTCAACAGCACTCGTACGCGGTCTTCAGTCTCGGTGTGTCGTACGGACAGCGTATCCAAATCGCCGACGATTCTCGAGTTCTCTGCTCGCAGACGCGCCACTTCTACAACCGCGTCTTCGAGCTCCGTTCGTGTTCGCTCCAGCTCCAACTTGAAATTCTCCGCGGCAGCTTCGCGCTCGCTTATCTTCTCTCGAAGGCCTTCACACTCGAACGTGAATTTCTTAACTTGATCCTGCAGCGCAGTATATTTGTTGCTATCGTCTTTCTCCGATCTTTCCTCTTTTGCTTCCAATTCATCCGCCTGCTGATTATTTCGCGGACAACTCCGCGAATAACGCTCGCTATTATCACGGTCGTTCTCTTTCTCTTCTGAACTTTTCAATTTGTCCGGCCGTACCTTCCGGTTGCCAAGTACCTCAATTATACTTTTCAGTTTCACATTTTCGTCGGAAGCGATCTCAAGTTTCATCCTCAGCTCCTCCACCTCAGTCCTGAGGATTTCCGCCAGCGCGTCCCGTTGGGTAATAATATTCTCAATTTCCTTGTCTCTCTCGCGGAGAATATTACGCATCCCTTCCGCTTCTCCTAATAGCGTCTCTTTGTCATCGTGAAGGCTCTGCAATTTTTGTCTCACCGCATCAATTTCGGTTTTCATCAGTTGCACTTCCGTGACGCGTTGCTCGGAACGTTCGCGTTCGCGCGTCGATATCTCTTGTTCCCGTTTCATTATGTTCTCTCGCAAACTAACGTTCTCCTCGCGCATAATGGCAATAATCCTCTCGTACTTCTTACGATCGCAGTCTAAAGTCGATCGTACGCTTTTGCATTCGCCGCTCAGCGCGTTCTCACGCTCCGTCTTCTCCGCCGATTCCAGTTTCAAACGCGCGACCAAAGTTTCGAGTTGTTCGATTTTCTCGCGTAAACTCGCGCGATCGTCGAAAAATTCAAGATTCTTCACCTTACAGTACATTCGCTCAATCAAGTTCTCGAGTTCCTCTATTTTGTCCTTCTCGTTCACGTTAATCATTCTGAACGGAGTCTGTTTTACAACGGCGATTACCGCGACCGATTTTCTCACGATGTCTTCGAGTTCCACGATTTTCGTCATGTATTGCGAGCCGCTGACATCTCCGATTTTGCAATACTTATCATCCATCGGTTTCATCTTCGATTTTCCAATTTCGCTGTCGAGTTTCTTTAAGAAATCGTTGAATAACGAGGCTGTTACCAAATACTTATCGTATGGAACATTGTCGCACGTTGATTGCTCGTCTATTGGCGCGTTCGACCGTTGGAACTCCACGAACAGCACTTTCAGGTTTACTCTCAAATCGATCACTTTCTTCATGTATCGCAAACAATCTGGATCGCCGGCGACAATGATCGCCTCGCGATCACTCTTCAAATTGTTTCTCAAATCATTTATCAAGTTTTCCACGTGTCCGATAACGTCCGGACTATCTGCGACGTCGAAATTCTCGTTTACACTATTCGCATTCTCGCGGATAACTTTCAACCGATCCAACTTGCTCATCAATTGTTGCACAAGTTTGTTCAATTTGCCGATCTTCTTGCGATATTCCGCGCTACTGCCGCATTTGGAGCGCAGTATGGCTTTCAGCCGGTCTAATTTGTGATGTAGATTTTTATTTTTTGCCTTAAACCTATACAGATACTCGTTGACGTTCACGAGCTCCTCGGACAGACCAACCACAGTTTCGACGATTTTACCGATCGCGTTCGCGAACACCGCCTCGATCGTTCGATCGCTCATCGCAAACTTTCTCAACTTGTTTTTGAGTTGATTGAGTGCGACACTCGTCTCGCAACTGTCCTCGGCCTCTTTTTTCGAAACACCCTGGATCTCGTTGTCGTTCGGACGTTGTTTCTCGCACAAAAATCCATCGCCAATTCTGATAATCTCGTTCCCTAATTCGCAGACGCTGATACGCGTGATATCTTCCTTAGTTTTCATCAAAACTTGCCTCAAGCTCGTCACTTCATTCTCCAAAGCATCCTTCGCCTGCTCCAATCGACTAATCTCTGCCTTCTGATGCACAATCAAAAGATCGTTTTGCTGATTATCATTCCCATTGTCATCATCCGCGCGCAGAGCCATTTTCATTCGCCAGATATTGCTTTTTAGTTTCGCGCTGTCGTCCCGCCACTCCTTTATCTGCTGCATCACATAGTGCAGCTTATGTAACGTTGTCGCAGCCCTTTTGGCAATTCTTATCTTCTCCTCGATAACGACATCAAAAGCGATCACTGGCAGATATTTGTCGAGATATTCGTCGCTCATCATTGTGTTTTTAAATTTTATTAGGTTGATATAAATCTATAACTGCATATTTTTTTTTTTACGGAAGATGATAAAAAGTTTGCTAAATAATAATATTTTATAAAAAAATGTCAACATTCACATGGTGATCATCGTCACAATAATGTTTCTATCGTTAATTATTTATATAACCTTACTTTTGTTAATTAATTAATTTGTGGAAATGATGTTAATTTGATGTTAACTTTATGTGTGATGCTTACAAATTTATGTCATGTGATTTTGATAGAATTTAATTTATAAAACGATACTTGACAATTTTTCCATGTTGGTGCGCCATAAAAGAGTGAATGTGTACGCGCGAATGTAAAAAAAAATCGATTTTCTCACGTGCGTAAGAAAAATATAAGCGCGTTCTTTTTTACTGAGTGCATAAATTCAGTACGCATGTTTCATTGAAACGTCTGCAAAGTTGCGCAATAATATCTGTATTTATTATATGCATCGCAAAAACTTGCGCGTTGTTTCCTTACACCGATTCGATTAGTAAAACGCTGATTTTGCAGCGACTAACGCGCGGCGAACACCAAGCAAAAAGGGAGCGCAAAGTTTCACAAAGTTCGAAACCCTAGCTCCAGCGCCCTGTGTTTTCTCCTCCTTCCTTTGCAATTACCGCGCAGATTTAATTGATGACGGGCCCTCTCGATAAGTTCTTGAACAGAACCGAACCGTGGTCCAAGTACTCTCGAAACTCTCGAAACTTAAGAAGCGTTCAGTATCGCTGCGCCTCCGGTCCCTCAATATCGGAACACCTAATAAGACTGTTCTAACGAGGACACTGCACAGCGAGCATACAGCGCGCAATTCAATTATAGCAACCGCTTAATTATGTGGGCCGTACGTAACCAGTACGCGTACTTCCGGTTACTCTAGATGCACGCAAACTTCGCACGAAGCGGAAGTTCGATGAATAATGCGCGTGTCTCAATGTCTCTCCGTTCGAAAGCTGTCATAAGCCATCGATGATAGTCTCGCATTACTGAGAATTCACGAGAAGTGGGATCGAAATTCTCGATATATATAAACTCGGACACATTATATCAGCACGTGTAGAATCTTATCTTCATTATTCATATATCGAAAAGACACGTTTTCATTTCTTCTCATTTATTATCTTGAGAAACTTAAATTATTCGACACTTCCTCGCATTATTAATTCAAGTTGTATTGGTCATGCGATATTCTGTTAAAGTCGCCGTCCTAATTCTAAAAATGTATGACCGACGTTGTTCTTAAATACGAACTTCCTGTGCGAGGCACGTGCAATTTTCACACATATAAGATTTTACGTTCACGTCAAGCGTTCTTTGCAATTAATAATAATGATTGTATCTATGTCGCCACACCGCGGATTATTCACAACTCTCACGACCTTAGTTATTAATACCTTCACACGATAATGTTCGAAATAGTTTTGCGTCAAACTATTAGATGTAAACTTAGCTCATATTATACATATCGAGCGCTTCGAGATTGGTGACAATTGTAAAATTAGATGAACGTGTGAAAGATAGTCGAACGAGCCATGCGAAAAACAGGTTAAGCGTGGCCCTGAAAATTGCATTAGGATCTGAAAAGTTGACCAGGTCATGAACGATCAATACGCACCGCCGTTTTGTTCATGTGAATGCCATGCAGCACGGCCGCAAACATCGATTGAATCGCCGCCGTACTGTTGCTGCGAATATAATCCTTTCAGCGACAATGCGAGAGAGTTGGAGATCTATGATCTGTCATTCGCCTTGCGAAAACTCACGATAATGAAGTGCCAGATGAAAAAGTGGCGCATAGAAAGGCTGCAACTCGAGAGCGAAAATAGGTCTCTGAAACAAGCCCTACGATCATTCGGTATCGATGTTCCACTTCATAAGCGAATTTTTCTCTCTTCTTTGCTCTTAGTACATACACGCTACTTTTTTTTTGTGTGTATGTATGTGCGCATATGTGTTGGCTGCCAACGTACTGGAAATCTATAGCACGTGTGACGTGAAGTATAGATTTGTAGTACCGCCAGTGAATATCGGAACGCAGTCTCTGTGTGTGTTCGAGCCACGCGAAGAGAATAATTTTAGGTCAGTGCTTTTTTTGGCGCGCCATGTTCCACTTACGGAATGTTTTGCATAGAAGGTTCCACGGTAGAATTTATTTTACATAAGTCAGTCGCGTCGCTATTTTGATCGAAAAATGTCGAGTGCAGGATATTAAATGATTTGATGAATGAATTATCATTTTTAAGAATTTCGTTTTTGGTTTTTAATTCTGCATAATTCTTCCAGAATGTTTTTTCTCGGTCGTCGTATAAAAGAGAGTAGGATTACGAATATATTTCCGACGGTCAAATGATTTCCATACAGGTGCGAAGCTTGACGAGGTATTGGGCCCTGATCCCCTGCTCGTGCATTACCGCGAGGAAAACGAAAGACTGCAGAATGCAAATGAGGGACTGACGGAAAAAGTTCGCAACCTCGAGGAGAGTCTCGCCGAACGAGATTGCTGCGACGATCCGTGTGAGAAAGTTAAATACGTGAGAGAGAAAATAGCAGCGCTGAGAGAACGTTTCGCCGACGAGAAAAAACAGTACACAATTGCCAATTGACTATAAAATGTCGCTTGCAGCGTATTTCTCGTTACTTTGTTAAACGGTAGAGCGTTTTAAGAGCGGGAAAGGAGATGCAAAAAACAAATAAAACTCTTTTCGCAAAGATCAATAATCGGAACCGCGAGATAATTAGCATATTAATTCCATTTTACGTTTTGTATCTTTAAGCTTGCGCGCCTAAATTTTAAAAGAGAGATCAATCACGGTTCATTTGCTCGCGCATAATAGTAGCGAATCATCTATCTTCATTAAACGCGGAACGTCAATATAATTACGTTGCAAACTGTTGATATCGCGGTAGAATGCGAGATACGATATCGCAGCTGAAGCTGAAACTGGCGAAAGCCGAGGAGGATAGTTCCTGCGCGGCAGTAAACCGTTTGAGGGCAAAGCTTCGCGAGTTAATGAAAGATGGTCAGAAGGCTGATCAACAGGTGCCCATGGTTGTCGAGAGATCAATGCAGACATTAGCGGATCTCTCAAAGAGCTACGAGGATCTGCGAATAGAGAACGAGCGTCTGCAGACCGAGCTCACGCAAATTCGCCGTTCGATGGAGGAAGTTGCTGCGTCGTTTCAGGAAGGCACTGTCGTTCTTCCGTCCGCAGACGAGGAATCGATAGACACGTCGGCACTATTGACTCAACTGCGGAACTGCGAAACACTTCTCGCTGTATGTAGAATGCAACTGGACGAGAAAACGGCGTACGCGGAAACTCTATTAAGTGAACTCGAAGTACAAAAAGCGTCTGTCGCCGCGTTGGCGTTAGATTTGGATCAAATGACTGCTAGTTACGAGATCGTTATGAACGAGATGATCGAAGCGAAAAAAGAACTAGAAGGAAGGGAGGAAGAACCGGAAGTATTCGAGGAACCTGAGGAGCTTGACGATAAGGCATGTTGTTGTTTTATTATGACGTTTGCAGCGTTATTTGCGCGACTTATATTAATAAAATAAGTGAATGAATGTTTTTTTTATGACAACATAAAGACTTTTGTTTAATCGAGAGGACGTGTTTATATCTGTTTGATTCTCTTTTTCTCTTTCTCTCGCAAACTCCAGCATGACAATTGGACGTTTGTTTGTAGATTACGAAGCTTCTTGGCAGCCTGCGGCGCTCTGAACTGACTGTGCTAGGCATGAGTAAGTTGCAAAGCGAGATCGAAGATATGAGGTCCCAACTGCATAATCTCGAAGCAGAGAGAAAAGAACTTCTCGACGAATTAGAGATCGTGAAGGGAATAGCGTCCGAAAGAGATCTCAATGATCGAATCATCGAGCTATTAGAGCAAAAGAAGAAAATCAAAGATGATTGCGCGGCAAAGTTGGCGGCGGCGCAGGAGACGATCGATATGTTTGTAGCACAGGAAACAATTCTCAACAGAGAAATCGAAGGACTAAAAGTTCGCGTGGAGGAGCTGGAGATTTCTCGTGAGGTTGAGATAGATCACAAAGATGAAGTGATCGAGCGTGCCGACGATGACGAATTAATACGCAAGATACAACAAATGGAAGATGAGTTAGAGAAGCGAGCGGCCGAAACGAATCAATTGAAATTAGAAAAAACAGCTTTGAAGGACGGTCTCGATAAACTGCTCGAAGAAATAGATAGGCTGAAGGTTGAAAACAGTGAACTGAAGGATGAAATTGTTGTTGTTAGAAACGAGAGAGAAATTCTGACAGCCAAGGGAGAAAGCTTGAAGTCTGAGAACAGTCTTCTTAAAGACGAATTGTCTAAGACAAATGCAGCGCTAGATGACGCAAAGAAACAATTGGACGAGTTTAACATCGAGAACGAAGTTCTTCGAGAGGAACTAAAATTGGAGAAGGTAAATAATAACAAGTTACTCGGGGACTTGAATGCTTTGCAGGGTGAAGTGGTGAAGTTGAAATTGGAGAACAGAAAATTGTCGCAAGAGGCAGATGATAAAAAAAAAGAGCAAACGAAATCACTGAACGAAATAGAAACTCTGAGGAAAGAGATAGACAATACAAGTAACGAATTAACGAGAGCAAATAACGAAGTTGCAGATTTGCGGAGGGAAATGGCCGGGTTAAATAATGAACTGAAGAAAGCGAAAGTTACAAATGAACAGCTACTGGCGGACATTTACCGAGTGGAAGCAGAGAACAAAGCCATTAAGACGGAAGCGAATAACTACGGGGACGAAAATGACAAGCTAAGGGTGGAGATGAGCGAGCTGAAGGAAGCAATAAACTTATCGACGAGCGAAGTAAACAAATTAAGAAAACAGCTAGACGATGCCGAGAATCAGATTAAGTTTCTAGACTTTGAGATCGCTAGTTTACAGACTGATAAAGACAAGGCGCGAAACGAGATCAACTCTTTGCAAAATGACATCAGCAAACTAAAACTAGATCTAAGCGCGGAAATTACTGCTAAACGAGACATTCAGGAGGAATTGGCGGCATTGAAGAACGAGATGAAAAATTTGATCCTAAAGATCGATGAGTTGAAAGTGCAGAATCACGCTCTGAAAGAAGAGAGAGATCTCCTGAAGAAAAAACTATTGCGACTAGACGAGGAACTGTCGAGCCTAAAAGATGTGAATGCCGAGATGACGAGCGAGATTAACGACTCGAGACAGACTATACCTAATTTGCAGTCGCAGATATCTCAATTGAAAAGTGACGTCGAACGTTGCAAGATCGAAAACGACGAGCTTGAGACGAACGTAAATAATTTATTCACTGAGAATAAAAGAACGACGGAAGAATTGAACAGCAGTAAGGTAGAAATAATAATGATTAGTTATATGCGTTTCTGACGTGACTTTTTTGATAATAATCACTGTGAAATTCATAGGTCGAGCGACATGCATTAGAAAAGGAGATAACCAATCTTAGGAATGAGAGGATTAAGCTCGAGGGAGAAATCGCAGAGCTTAAAAATCAGCTGGAAGAACTGAACGTAATCTTAATCGCCGAAAAATCTGCTAAAGAAAAAGCTATGAGAGAATCAACGAAAGTTAGCGATGAGATCGTTGCGCTGAAAGAAGAACTCGACACATTGAAGACCGAATTGACTAAATTAAGAACGGAAAACGATAAGATAAGAAGCAACGAGGAAAGTCTGTCGCGTCGAGTGTTAACTTTGCAGACGGAGATTGGCAACAAGAAAAACGAGATATTGGTTTTGAAAACGGACAATGACACATTAAAATCGCAAACAATCGCATTAACAACTGAGAATAACGTACTGAGAGATGAATCAGAGAAGCTCGTGTCTCGAATCGACGGCTTGAAACTTGAGAACGCCACTTTCAGAAAGGAACAACAGAAACTTATTGAAGAATTCGATAAACTGAAAGGCGAAGGCGACGGTCAGAAAGCTGAGATAGAAAACCTAAAGTCCAATCTGACAGCTGAACAAGAATTGTTGAAAAAAATTCGATCAGAATTATCCACTTTCAAATCGGAAAACGATAGATTAAAAGAAGAGTTGAGAAAACTGCAGAAAGATCAAGATACGTTTATACAAACGAATGACAAGCTAAACAGCGAGGTAAAGGATTTGAAGGAGACATCGATCGACGCTCAGAACAAGGTGAATAGGTTGCAGGATCAGGTGGCCGCGCTGTTAGACGAGAAGGAGGCGCTCTTGAGCGAGTTACACGGTTTACGAGCGGAAGTGAGTAGGTTAGATAAAGAAGTTGTATCGGATAAAGATGCGAGAGAAGTCGCGGAGAAAAAAGCGATCGTTCTAAACGACGAATTAACGGTGTTGAAGGCTCAATTGGATAAAATGCGCGCGGAAAACGAGAGTCTGAAGAAGGAACAAAACGACATGAATGAGCGCCGCACCATATTGGAAAATGAAAACTCCATGTTGAAAACCGAAAATACTAAAATAGCTGCGAAACTCGATTCCTTCAAGTTCGATCTAACAACGGCGAAGAACGACCTCAATAAGTGCGAGGATCAGAACAGCAAGTTGAAGGTGGAGATCGACGAATTGAAGAAGAGACACGGCGATGCGGAAACAAAGATTAAATTTCTGGAAAGACAGCTTGCTGAATTGTCGAACGAGAAAGAGAAAATCGAAAGAGAAATGAAGAATGCGAAGACTGAGGCTGCGATCGCAAAGGCGCGTGATGACGACGCGCGAGCGCAGCTTGATAACTTAATCAAAGATCTAAACGCGGAGAAAACGGATAAAAATGTCGTCTTGAAAGAATTAAATGCCTTGAAGGAGGTTTTGGTCCAGTTTCGCGATGATTTGAATAGATGTCGAACGGACAACGAACGACTAACGACCGAGTTGTCGACTTCGGAAAACCGAGTGTTGAAATTGCAGGCAGATTTGGAAAAGACAGTAATTGAAAACGATGCCCAGCAAAAGGAAATAGCTCGGCTAAAATCGGAGAACGACAAACTGAGGAAGGAATACAGCAGATTAAAAGACAAAAATGGAGACACGAGTGTCGAGTTGGGCCAGATCGAGCTGGATAAACGGGAAGATGATCTGGCAAGATTAAGGACAGAGCGTGATAAAGCGCAGCAAGATTCAGAAGAGTTAACGACAGAAAATAGAAAGTTGCGGGATGAACTAAGAGAGGCGCGAGATGAGATCAATAAATTAAAGAGCGACATCGAGAAATCGAAGGCAGACTTTCTTCAAGATATCGACAGGCTCAGAAATGAATTGAAGAAAGCGACGAGCGAGACGGACAAAGCGAGAGAAGAGTTGAGACACGCAAAAGAAGAGAATGACAAATTAAGAATAATCAACGACGCACTCAAATTACAACTAGATCAAAAAAAAATTCAGCAAGACGAGTCAAAAGAATATCGTGATACCGTTCACGATGACAGAAAAGATGAGGCGGAAGATACAATCGTTGAACTGCTTGTTGAAATTAACGCATTGAAAAGCAAAAATGCAGAGCTGGAATCCGAATTACAGATTTGCCAAATAGAAAACAAGCGCTTGAACGAGCAGCTTGACAATTTGCAGGGCAAAGATATCAAAATGCCAAGATCTCTTCTTCCTGCGGGTTTGTATTCGCTAAGTGTTTCTTTTCAATTATCATAGCAATACAAAATAGCGCACATTTAAAATAATATTAAAAAAAACCCCATCTATTTCTATAGATAATAAAATATTCATTATATTCCCATTTCATAGCCGTTCAAAATTATAATGGACATAATTTTATCGTGCAATGCGCCTTATTCATTTGTGGCAAGCCTTTTTCTCGCCGCTGAATTCGTCAGCCGCATTAAAGAGAAAGCATCTTTGTAATTCCAGAGGCTGGCGTGGTTAAACCGGATGAATGCGGCGACTTCGTTAAGGCGAATGAATTACTAAAGAAACAGATTGAAAAGCAATATGACGGTAAAACTTGCATAAAAACTTTCCGACTGTTTTGCCATTCCGGGAGTTTTTTGTCGTGCCGCAGAAACGCGAATTTGCTTATTCATTCAGGTCTTAATTAGTCGGAATAATTTCGTAATATAAGTCAAACATTTCAGTAATCTTAGAAATTCTTTACAGATGATAAATGTAATAGAATTGAAAAAATCTTGCAAAGAATGCGTGCACATTGTAATGATTTGGAATTTAAAAGAATGTGTGTGTGTGTGTATGTGTGTTTTTATATACAATATTATTATTAAATAAAGTTTAGAAATTGTTGAATTTTATCAAATATACATGATATTCATATAATTTATATACATGATATCAATAAAATTGCACACAGTAGTAATATTTACAATACGCACATGAATTTTGAGATAGAAAGCAACGCAAGCGAAATTCGATTATATAATCTCTGCAAGTTGGTTCGTATTTGTTCTCGCGCTAACAGCCGTGCAACGTGTGCGTGATTACATACACTTCGTTGATGGGAAAACTTCTACAAAGCCCGCAATGGCAATTACATTGGACGGCGATCTCGGAATCGAGCGGTGGACAGTGCCGGCCATCGTGGAGTTATTAAAAGAATCGCAAAAGTTGTCCGAGAATATTTACTTGACCGAAATCGAAATACAAAGCATCGACAAACTACTGGAATCACTCAACAAATACAAGAGAGAAAACGAGATTTATATGAAGCAGTTGTCGGTGAGAATAATAATAATAATAAAAACGAAATATAGCGCGTTAGTTTAATAATACATGCTTGATGACTTATCAAGAGAATAATGCGAAATTTTCCACTTGCATATTAACGCCGGAAATGAATCGCTTCTAGGAGCTTGGTGTAGAAGTTACCAAGGTTGCAGGTGTAGATAATGGCGATGAGCTTGCAGCTTTTGACCCTGAATCTTGGTTAAAGGTATGTACGTGCACTGATAAGAGTTTATTTCGCCAGACGTTGTGCTTGTTCCTACGAAATCTCGCGATTTCCTTAAATAAACAACAATCCCGTACTATAATACAAGGGATTAATTTAAAATGAGACACACACACATAATAATTTGTCAGTCGCAATGTAAGTTTCGCTGTCTGTTGCTCGCAGTCTCTGACGCTGACGCAACTAGCCGAGCTGCACGATAAAATCTGTCTATTGACTTCGAACATGGTGCAACAAGATAGCGGTCCTGCGGTCTGCGATCGATCAGCGATTAATTGGGACCACGGCGGCGATCCACTGAAGGCGGATTACGATGCTTTAAACCGGCGGATCGCCGCTCTGCAGAAGCAAATAGCCGAGAAGCAGATTGAAGCGGGGTGGAAGCTGCAGGAATTAAGACAGGCTCTTCGTCACGAGCAAGCTAACCTGATTCAAATCTCCGAGCGAATGAGTCTCGAAAGAAGACGCAATTTGGTGCTCCACCTCACTATGGACGATTCGGCGTGAAGCTTTCCGCGCTCAATTATATCCGTCGAGTGGTGTAAAGAAAGAAACGTTTGACTAGGACGCAGTAGGAGTTTCTCATTATGAAGCAAAATATTCTTGTATCTTTTTGCTCGTCATGTTCCTTTCAATACATGTAATAAACAACAAAAGGGAAAGAGGAAAATGCTATATATACGTGTGAGATTGAAAATAATTGAATAAACACAAGTTTTTGTTAAATTTTCTGGCAATGATTAATTTTAATAATAATTAAACTGAAAAGAAGAAAAAGAGAAAATTCTAAAAATAAAACTTTCTTCAAGTGTTGCGATCTTTTTCAACGAATCCATCTTTTGTTCACGTTTTCGCTTTCTTTACGAACGTTGAATGACTGCAATAATCTTCTGGGCGTATAATTGCGATAACACACCATATTCAGCAACAACTGTTTGTTGCTAATCATGATCGGACAATAACAATTAATGAGAGCGCTTGTTTTGCAGTGCATGCTTGTGCGCGCCGTGCCACGCGCGATAACGTGATTTCCTGTTTCATTTCGGAGGTCGCGTTGTTCGATCTAGAGTAATTCAATTGTACCGTACCACATCCGTTCCCACGACTTTACTCGGCTCGTCGGGCACTCGCGCGCGAGCTCAATGGAAAGGCGAATGCCGTCGACAAAGAGTAAACACATAATTGAAATGTGCGGGTAGATCAAACGGTAAACGAATTGTCGAAATCCATTTAACCGTATGTCCACCGCGCGGAATAGAAATAAACTCGTAAAACGCCAATAGTTCCTTGCAGCGGTCGTATTAATGCGAGCATCGACGTCGTTAAAAAAAATGTCGTTGTGTCTACTTATCTTTTTTTTTTTTATTTTACTTTTTTTTGTTTTTTAGAAACGAGCGATAAATCCTTTCCGTGCAATTTACAGCTTATGCGTCGTTCAATATCGTGCTAATGCTCGATCTCGCAGTTCCGCAATCGTAATGCATGTACATACGTTTTATGATTCTGTAAAGCACAAAACAGAGCAGCGGTAGATACAGTCGTGAGATTAACTGCGACATATAGGATGCTGTTGCGCGCGATCTTCGTGTCGTACACCACCACACACTTGATTTTACTAGGAGATATTTTTATTTCGATGAGCATTCACAGATGAGCTATTGTAATCGTGCGCGGGATTTTCCACGTACAGATATATAAAGTCTGTGGGAAACTAAAGTTCGACAGTTAACATAAAAGTAACGACGAGTAACGCAAAGATATGACTGCGAACTCATCGAGAGAAATGTGGTGCCGAGCGATGTGGTACTTGCTAATTGTTACGCATATACTGGGATTCTGTTACACAGTGAGAAGATTTTCATGAAGTTTCATCGTGTGTCGCACACGATTTTTCTTAACAAGAAAAAATTGGCCAAAAATCAAATTGTTGTTTAAAAGAAAAAACTTTTCACATTAATGCGAAAGTGAAATTAACAAGAATTTTGAATACAGCATGTTTTATATTTAATTTATAATTTACTTGTAGTTTTAAGTTTATTTCTTTTTAAAAAAATATAATTTTTTTGAACACACACACACACACACACACAAGACGTTATTTCTATATTTTCACTGTAATTGCTACTTCTACATTTCATAACTTTTAGGATGATGATATAGTAGTATCTGTGGAAGATATAATCATCAAACATATTGATTGTACTTATTTCGATTGCGACAAGATGATCATTGAAAACGAGTACAACAGCGATGGCGTTGGTTGCGTAAATTCTAATTGGACACTAGAAAAAAATATAGACGGAGACACTCGTGTGAGTCTAGATTTTGTACATTTACATATGCGCTTAAAAAATTATTTATTAGATACTCGTATAATTACATAAAATTTTTAAATAACATTGTTTATTATTGTTTATGTAGACAGCGATACGTGTATACCAGTGCATCTTAGATAAGTGCAAAACGTCATTAGGAATGGATATAAATACAACATTGAATAATGTTATGATAGGAAAAGATATTCTAAAACTATATTTTGAAGCGGGAAACCTGAAAATATCAAGTGATTGTAATTGCATAAAAAAGGTAATGGTACAAGTTTATTCAGTCCAGTTTTATAATGTGTAACACATTGGCATTTTTTTACAGGGTACTTATTTAATTAATCAGTACTGTGTGAACTATATGTCGAGTCATATAACTGGCCGATATTTATTAACATTCGATTTGTATAAAGATAACAATACGTTGATAAGTATATATATAAGTATATGTTGATTGCATATAAACAGCGCTGTTTATGTACGCAAATAAATCTATATAGTATATATGTACATAATATACACATGTATGGTATATTGTACAACGTTAAAGCGCGGCTGTTCTCAAAGAACTTCTTTAAAATATCTCTATACTAATATTGCTTTATAACATCTAAATTAAAATATGCTATTGATTATCGATTAATAATAAATTTCCACCCATGTTGTACTCTTTATATACGTTTAAATATATGATTAATTAAATACACAGTAAACAAAGATAAACGCGCACATCATTGTGATATTGTTGCACGTCCTATATATTTCGATATAATAATATTTGCATACATATTTTGACAAGTACTAAGTAATTACCTATTTCGATAAAACATTGAGTAATGAATATTTAAAATAAGTACAAAAGAATTATTTATTTGTTGTTCAATAAAGCTTTGATTAATAAATAAGAAATTCATGAGAAAGAGAGAGAAAAAAGAAAAACTTATCTTTTTTTTTCTCTCTCTCTCTCTCTCTCTCTATTTCTCTTTCTCTTTCTCGATAAGAATAGTTTACGTTGTGAAGTTATATTCCTCAACATGAAGTTGGATTGACGCGTGTAAGTTCCCAAATAGACGTTGATCACACGGAAACTTCATGGGGAAACTTTCTAACGTAATTCCCGCTTTCTGATATACTGATGCATAATTTATAGGCCGAACCTCTGTTCGTGCACCTCTTCAACATCGATACTGTTAGATGGCGACCATTAAGAACGCGGCTCTTGCCCGTCTTCACGTCCGGGAAGTTGAGAAACATGTTTCACTTGTTGCTGAACTGTGTCGAGCACTTGGAAAGGTATTCGAACGAGAAAGTGCCCGAGAAGACGGGATCGCCGAAAACTGACGGGTAAATTCACTGTCGATGAGATCGGATCGTGCGTTTTCGGTATCGAAATAAATGCATTGGACGAGGAGAATAAACACCTAAAGTAACGACTTCCAGAAAACTGATACTTATTATGGTAATTAGTAATATTATATTACTTATAATCTTTTGCATCAATCTCAAAATCATAATTAGAGAGCATCTCAAAGACTTAACGTATGTAACACACACGCATATCTCCGCCTGTGAGATATTTGATTACCCCGTATCATCTTTCATTACATGTTATACATAAATGCGTGTAAAATCTTAATTTAATCGATCGTTACTTATTATCTTATACGTACTTTATGATTCATCGAATATTTTGGATATGTGCTATATGAGATCACTGTAACCAAGTGTATAACGATTTCACTCAAACAATTCCAAACTGTTTTTTAAATGTTTTTATATATATCGATTATTCGATGAGATTTTTTCAGATTTTTTACACATTTCGAAACAAATGTAAAAACTCTCAAAATCTAAAGTTATTAATGAAAAATGCTAAATTATCGGTGAAAAAAATATATAAATATAATAGATTTCCTCTAATTTCTCAGAAGAAATAGAAAGCTAATTTTTGCTTTTATTAACAAAGCAAGTTTTAAATAATGTTTATACAGTTTAGGGTTTTAAAACTCTTTTTAATACAAACGTTTATAAAAGTTTTAATTTAAAGATAAAACTGGATTTTCGCGTGCTGACAAAAAGTTAACATGTTACATTTTCCACCAGTTATACTCTCGAAATTTTAAATGTCCGTGTCAATGTACAGTGCGTTTCACGCGTGTGTAATTTTTTTTTTTTTTTTTTTGGTCAGTCGACGTATACGTAAATCACTTTCACTGCCCGCGGGTTGCACGAATTAAATCTGGCTTGTTTTGTAATTCAATTTTTAGCTTTTAATACACGCACACGCGCGCTTTTATGCGTTGACAGTTGTCATTATTCTTGAATTGTAACGTTTCACTGCAACACAAAGCGCATATATAAAAAAAGAGCTGCGTGTACTGTATTGGAATGTATGGATATGAAAGATTAATTGGAAGAGAAACAAAAAAGCGAGTATGTACTAATTTTCGAATTCAGCTCATAGAACGTGTACATGTTGTGTGTGACAATGCGAAAGTCGCGTGTGCAGAAATATATTTTTTGTATACGATGATATATATATGTATATATATATATATGTATATAGTTTTTTGTCTCTTTATATTGTCTACTAAAAGATAAATCGTGAAAAACCTAATCCAAGTACAGACAAATCTTCGTTTCTCCTTTCCGCGTTAATCGTTCACAGTATTAGCGTTTTCAGCGAAAACAGTCGTCGTCTTGTACCGATTCGCGAAGTGTCGGAGAAGGCAGAGAGTAGGACGAGACCGAGCGCGAAAGCTCCGACGGGGGATGAAAAGTGATCGGCGAGCGCTTTAAGCGGCCACCCTCCGCGCCGGAGGGTGACGAACTCGCACGAGTTGCACCGAGCCGAGCCGAAACCTCCAACAGCTCCGTCAGTAGGCCTGGCGCAACGCAGCAGTGAGCGCGCCTTTGACCTTAAGTAAGGGTTTGTGTGATCGAAGGATCGGTCGATCGGTTCTCCAACGTTCGGTGACATCGATCCATCATCGCGCGTGCGATACCGATCGGGATTGACGACCTTATAACAATTTGCAGTGACGAGTGTTCATGAAAGCGACTGTCAATAGATCATCCTCATGCGGTGCTGTAAGTGTTTCCTGGAGAAAACTCGACACGAGTTCACCATTCAAAAGCCACTAATCCAAAGTGCGATACGGTAACGGCGATATCGCGCGGCGGTTTTTTCTCTCGAGGAAAATGAAATATATTTTCACTAATAAATAGATAGCACAAATAACAGATAAGTGATTCCGTGGCAATCGTTAACCTTTGCTTGTACCTGAAATCTCGAATAAATAAATTATATTGACTAATCTAGAGGTACTTTACTACGCACACGCGCTTCAGCATTTTCCTCATGAACAAGTTTACTTTTCCCGAACGCACTCGAAACGCTGGTATAATTACTAAAAGTGATGCGGCGCTTTGAAAAAGTTGGAAAATGAAGGATACGCAACGAAAAGAGCAGGTTGTAATCTCGATATATCAAAGTGCAACGTGAAATATTTCCCTGCGCAAAGTAACGACGGTAACTTCTCACGTCACTTCGTAACGCTCGACGTAGATATAGCAAACATATAGTCATCCAACTATCGATTTTTCCGTCCTACGTTCTCGAAAACATCATTACGTCATTGTTGTCGAGCGATGACGGAGAAAAGCGACGGGGTAGTTCGCGCGTGTAAGACTTAGTGGTGTATAAAGTGAACTCCAATAGACTGTGCAAGAAGAGGATGTACAATTACTCGATCGAGTAACCTCGTTAAACGACGTAAGCAGTTCGCATACATAAATAACGCGTGTAATCGAGCTGAGCCCTTAAGGAGTTACGCGACTTATTTATAATCCTCAGTTTCATGTCGTAAGTCCAGCGGAGAGAAGAGGAATATCTCGCGTGCTCCGTGAACTGTACTTAAGTTTCTACTCTCAGGGCATAGGTCGAGACCCTCTCCTATCTTCTCCGCTCGTTATCGTGAAAAGTGTATATCGGACGTTTTATCCGAGGTCGGCCCGTAAAAATCGGCCACGGCAACACTCGGCCTGGCTCGTCAGATCGATGCTCGACAGATCCTCCACGTCTTGTGACGCGTGAGATGTACCCATTAGATTCAAGATTCCTGATAACTTGACGGATCGTCCAAAGATTCATCTCATTGAAAGTTATCAGCCGCGTTGGCTTCCACTTGAGCACGGGAGATTTAAGGAGAAGAACCAGTGTCTGTGCGAGACGGTCCGGGGTCACCAAGAGCAAGGATTCATTCTGCTTACAATGGAGAGGATGCTTTTGCTGATGAGCTTGCTGGCCCGGTTCGTCGTAGCGGAAGTTCTGCTCGACGATGTCAACGAGCTACGTAAGTGAATGAAAAACTTGAGTTGCAAAGAGAAAAAGGGAGAAGGAAAGAGAGAGAGAGAGAGAGAGAGAGAGAGAAAGGAAGAGAATAAAGTATAATATATAATTGCAAAAGAGAGGAAAGGGAATCTGTGTGTCCCTGCTCGCGTCTTCACATCCATTAATAGGATTGGAGAAACAAATTGGTTCAGATTCAGTACAATATGTCTTCTCGTCCTTGTTATAAGATTTTCTCTCTTTCTATATGTTCTTTCCAAGTTCTCGGTACCGGTTATAATGCCGGCGCACGTTTAAGGCTAAGTAGGTATCGTCGTTGCTTTTGCAGGCAGCACGGGGAATATGTTTACGCTCGCAATATTTCCCTGCTTTCATCATAGTGAAAATATTTACGCGCCTGCATTAAGATCGCTTATGCTTGTTGTGATGCTTGTATCGATTTTCCATGTCGCTACGCAGAATAATGAACCAGTAGATATGGCGACAGTATGATATAGCGACGTGAATGATAGAAACGATCAGTATCTTCCAATAAAATAACTAATAACTAATAATTAATAACAGTTTGTTGAAAAAAAACGGATTTCAATTCTGTACAGGCAAATTGCTTTTACAATACAAGAGTTAAAAATTGAGTAACAAATTTTATCTATTAAGAAACATTGAATTAAATGTTATTTCGAATCACGCGCGATTGTATGGCAGATAAAACTTTCTCTTTATCACTTGTCAGCTATATTCAATAGTCGAGCACATAAAATTTCAGACAAGTACTATAAGCGTTTGGAAAACGGTAATAATTGGAAAATATATAAAAAATGTGATAATTATTTAATCAAATATTTAAATTATTGTACAACACTTCGAACAAGTAAAATATCAAACGCGCAATTAAATCGAGCAAGACATAAAAAGTTGTTCGATAATCATTAACCGATAGTTCGGTTATTGACAAATGTCAAATGACATGACTGATTTATAGGATAGAAGGACACGACGAAATTCCGGCGTGGCACCGCGCGATCATGCCTCTAATTAATAGCGAAAGGACAAGCGCCGACCGTAATGACATCGGTAACGACAATCTCATAATCGTCACGCGCCGCGCGACAACGCGCGGTGTGCGTGATCGCAAAAAAAAGTTACGTGAAGGGGGCGTGCATTAATTTTGATGCACGCACAGAACGTGAACGGTGTTGGGAATTCGGCCGCTTGTCAATAGTTGTTTTGCGGACGGCGCGGGCGAACGCGTTCTCCGCCACTGTCGGTCGTGCTCCACGACATCGGACAGGACCGCAACCCGTTTATTTAATCGATGCATTATGCAAATTGACATAACGGCTCCACTTCGGATGCAGTAATCGACCACCGTCTCTCGACAGATTCACAATAGGCCAACATGTACGCTGAATAATTGGCAGTAGCGTATCGTGGGCTGAAAATCAAAGCCGTCGCACACGCACCCTACCGCTCCTACCGCGTTTCCCTTCCTGTCCCGTGAATTCTCGTATATATCAGGAACCAACGCGATGGAACCTATGCGGGGATAACCTCTACGTGTAACACATGCGCATACACAAACACGTATAATGGTGTATACGCAGTAGATTCGAGTGCGCTTTGTTGGTTTGTTTGAAATTGAATGCATTGACGAAAAAAGACCGGGGACTTGGGGAAAAGATTTATGTGAAAAATAGAGAATTATTTTGCTAGAACTTTTATAATCAAGATATTTACGTACTGAGCGCTATAAAGTTTCGAATAAACGAGCAAAACAAAAATAAATGAAATTAAACATGGATAGAATAAAATGGTGGAAGCTTAATGACAGCTTCAGTATTATTTTCCGCGGGTCAATGCAACGTATAGCGTCCTTGTCATGGTTTAAGCGCCGATTATACATCAAAGTAGGACGATTGTAAAGTTAATACGAGTATAGAACGTTCATAGTAACGCCAACTTATCTACTTCAATTGCTATGATACGTGGACATTAAATTTTTATTCGATCGTTAAACCGGATAGATTACGATCAGAGGCATCAAATACCGTCCATATATCGTACAATCGTTTATCGTATCGTGACTTTACATTCTGTATAGTGCTGAGAATGAAACAAATTATAAACCTGCGCGACTTTTTTAATATACAAAATTGTCTCACGTTGTTGTAATAAAAAACAAGAGATATAAAATACAAAAATTACTTAACTTATTCAATTACTTCGTGATTCTTTATGTCAACGAAGACTAGAAAAATAATCGGAAATAATGATTTGATATAATAAGCGACTGTTGAACTTGATATTTTTAAAACTCATGGCGAGTGTTGTATAAGAAGTATTAGAAGAAGAGAAGTATCAATATCCACACATATCTAACATTCGAAGCGTCGTTCTTAAAGCGACTGCAGATCTCGCGGTAAGCCGCGTACCAGTAATAGAGCGTAATGCGTGTAGCAACGGTCCATTACGGACGAAGATATTGAAATTCCACGGAAGTGCAACTTCGGTGAATGGAAACTTAAAATTCTTCCATCGCCGCGCGCGCGCGTCGTGGCTGCCGCGGTCGCGGCAAGCCACCGGATCGAGTTTCATATCGGAGTATAAGAAGATGCGGGGGAAGTTTATAAAGCACACGGAGTGGTATTCTGCGAGCGTTATACGGGACTCGAAATAAAAGGAAACTGCAATTACAGCCGGCGGCGGTATGACGAGAGCGCAGAACCACAGAAACCGAGAAAGCGCAGTAGTCGTACTCCGTTGGTCGAGATGTCATTCGCGTTCACGTCGCCGCGGGGCTTACCAGCGAAAAGATAGAAAGAGATACAAGGCAAATAAAAACAAAAGAAGAAATAAAAGGAGAAGATAAAAATGGGCTTCAACGTCCGACTGCAAAATACACGGTAACGATCGGTGACTCCAGATAACCGGAAGCTCCGCGTGGGTCGGCCATCCGGGCGCGCGCGATTCCGCCTTGCCCGAGTTTGCATATACCCGGCGGCACACACGTTCGTCCCATTCGGAAACCGCGATGCGCAACTGCAGTTTGGAACGTGACGTCGCGAATCCGGCAAGCGGCCGATATTTTCGGTACGCCGTATTGTTCGTCCCTTCTTTCGTTTTGCGCTTTTTGCACGGAGGGCGATTTTACTGCCGGTGATTTTACCATGCGATTGTGCTCTGCGCGTATACAGAACGAGTATACGGCGTTACAGAAGTCACCGCGCGCTTTAACCCGATCGTTGATAACCGGTGGATGAACACAAAGGTGGAAGAGGAACGTCAGTTATTTCGATCAAATTACAGAGTCGTTAAACTTGGTATTAGTTTTTAATCGAGTATGGAATTTCACACAAAATTCTGAAATACTACGTAAAACCATTTGATGAAACAGCATTTTTATTGTAGTCGAAGAAAGGATTCGGTTACTTTGAGTGTTGTTCGTGTGGAAAAACGCAATCGCTCAGATTCGCTCGATAACATTTCTCACACGCTCACATTCTGATATCGATATGAAGCAGAAGATGCGTGCGCGCGCGCAAGGGAGAGAGAGAGATAGAGAGAGAGAGAGAGAGAGAGAAGTAACAAGAAGCAATTTTTAATAAAAGTTTTGGCTATCAAAAGATTCTTCCATGCAATGGGCTGCGCTGCAACGAGATTCTGCGTCGTCGTCGCCTTGGTCGTCGTCGTTGCTGCTTCTCGTTTCCGTCCCATTGCGCTTATGTCTCTTGCGCACCAATGTCGTAACAGTTCCTATTTGTAAAACAGGATCATGTCATCTTCTTCGATATCACGATTTTCTCGCATCCGGCTCGTAAGCGCCAGGCGATATCATTTTCCGCCTCGCATATTACCGCTTGCATTTTGCAGCGATGTTTAGCAAGAGGCACGTGCATAATATTAATTCTTTTATTGCTTTTTTTCTTCTTTCTCTCGACGTAATCAGCATATGCGTCGCGACAACGACTCGACGTGAAAAATTGCATTTTCTAACGAATAATGTCATCTCTAAAATCTCTCTTTTATACTTTTCGAATTTTATACGAGATATACGTTCAAACTATTCTATACTGATGAATTAAAGGATTTTAACAATAAATATACTAAGACAATCGACGATCACATGAACGTGCTTGTTAAATCGTGAAAAGTCGCGATAATTAATTCCGCGATCGCAAAGTCACACGTAAAAGTCGCGCTACGGCGCCTATTGCCCCGTCAGCGTTATTAATTTTCAAACTGTACGCGAGCTACGCCCGAAAGGCGGTACGCGCGGGCGGCCAGAGATCGGGGCGCAAGCTCTCGGGGGAGGAGGGATACTTCGTAAATCACTCGACGGGATTTATTATCGAGGATGTTCGCGTAAATGGCGGCGGCGCCGCGGTGGCTTCGACCGCAGTAACCGGAAAAGAAAGGAAAAGCCAGCGGGCGAACGGAGCGAGCGCGAGGAATGACTCGGTCGTAAGAGAAGAATATCCGGCCTTAAAAAAACGGTCAAGAGGAGAGCGGTGCGGCAGATAAAAGTAGGTAAAAAGAGAGAAAGAAAGAGAGAAGCAAGAAGAGGAAGGGCAGGAGAAACATCGCGGGAACTATTTCCACAATGGTGTGGTGGCGGTGTACAACGTTCGGTACGCCGGCGCGAAATAAGTCGGCACGGTCAGGCGATATGTGTAACACGCGGAAAAACAGAAAACCACGGTATTTCAAAGTCCCTGGCGGGCTAACGAACGACCGGCTGGCCGACCGGTCGAACTTTTCACTACTACGAGAACCTGTCGGCGAAAATTTTTCGCGAGCTCCGCCGAGCTGTGACTAATGCGCTACTTTGCCGCGGTTCTCCTCTGACGCGATAGGACTATTCAGGCACAAAAAAGTGAAAGATGTAAAAAAAAGAATTAATTCTCAAGGATACGCCTTTTCTTTGCTAAATCTTACAATTAAAAAATTATATATTTGTTTATTATATCTAAAATCATTAAGTAAAAATGTTGCTTCTGTTTTGCA